TACAGTATTATGTAAAATATGATATATTTGAATTAATCCAATAAATGCTTGTCTAATCATACATTCTTCAATTAAGAAATCTAAAAGTTCATAGATTTTGTTTACGGTTATTGAAATCTATTTATTCTTTTAAAATTTTGAAATTATTACTTTTAATTTTAATAAATGTATTAATTTTAATAAATATATTTGCATAAAATTTTTTAATTTTCCATTCTTTTAACTATGTTGATTAATTTCTATGTTATGAATTAATTAGTTGGTATTACTTCTATAAAAATAATTTTTTTTATAAATGAAAGTTCTATTAATTTTTAAATTGATTTATGTACCCATAATAAGTATAAAAATAGATTCTATTTAATACTCTATAATTATTTATATCCGTCAATAGTTTCTTTTTATGCTCAATGTTCGTATTATAATATATATAGCATTGTACTAGATGTATATATTATATTACATATTCTATAATCAATGTTAATATAATAATGTGTATTATAATAATTGCTTTGAGTACTAAACGAAATTATTTACAGATAGATAAATAATTTATAGATTTTCAAATAACTGTAAATACAAAATTGAATATATGTATTAGTATGAATGATTATCAGATGTATATAAATTAAATAAATAATTAATAGAATTTAGAAAAATATATACAAAAATTAACACGTCTTGTAAATTCTGAGAAACTTCTTGGAAATGTATTTATTCAATTGTATATTGTTATATTATATTCATACGATAAGACATTTTAATTTGCTACATACTATATATTTGTGTATGTATATGACAGACTGTCTGCTGGCTATGAGTCTACTTACTATGAGAAATAAAATTAATTAATTTAATATTTATAATTTTATTTTCGATTTTTTCTTTTTTATATCATTTCTTTATAATTTTTTATATAATATCTTACAATTTGCAACTTAATATATCTTTCAGTAAATATCATTTAATACTATAGTTTACCGTTTCTTGGATAAAAGGAGCTCATCGTAATTTTAAGTTGTGTAGCCGCAACTCAAACAGCGTCACACCAATACCAGCCTGTCGGCGATCAGACTAAAAACCTCCTTTAGATGTTGAGTGGAGGTGTTGCTGGCAAGTGGAAGGAACAATGCAATTATTCAAGACTACTTATAATGCTTATTGTTGTTCTTTTTATAAAAAATAATAATATAATAAATAATTAATAATTATGAAGTATGTAAATAATTGTATGATAGATTAAATATATAAAGTTTCCTTTATATTGTTCTGTGTTGATGAATGTATTTCCTTTTTGTTGTATAATGAGTAAATGCTATCTTAGCATACTTTAAATTGTTTATGTTTGTGTTATACTTTCGTGCTGCGCCTATGTGTACGTCGGTCTTATCTGTGAGATGATGTTTTAATAGTAGTATACTTGATGCCGCGCCTATGATAGGTCGGTCTTATCTGTGAGATGCTTCAATATAATTTTTGTTTTCACTGTTGTTTTATCTTAGCACTAATACGTTATTAATTTAATTTTAGTTTAATGAATTTTAGAATATAATGTTACTATTTCTTTCTTAGATTATTACTTAATTGATTATTACGTATGTATACCGTTAAACTGTGGTCACTGTAGAGAAAGCTTGATGATGTATAGTGAGTTTGTTATAATGACTGTGTAATTGTTACTAGACTGAGGCAAACTGAACTGCTGCGTGTGAAGCGCAGCCCTTAAATATTATCGCACTATTCCTTAAATGCCGGTGTTTGTTGCCATGGCGATATTGGTTGTGACGTCAACAGGGCAAAGCCTGGAACGTTCTTTGCTGATGTTTTGTTTAAATAACTGAATTGCGCGTTCATACTTCTCCCACTTTCGACTTTCAGCTTTTTAATGCGTAACAGCCGTTGTAGTATTATCTATTAATTATGTATTATCTTACTATTAACCTTATCATAATCTATTGTCAATAATTATTTTATTTTTTCTTGGATAATTTCTCTAAAATTATCATGCAAAACTTAGTATTATTATCAGCATACATATTGTTATAGTTGTACAAAAACACAAATTTCATAAAAACATAATCAAATTTCATAAAAACATAGTAAAATTTCATAAAAGCATAATAAAATTACGTAAATACATAATAAAATTTCATTTTTTCAATCTTTTAAAATTTATAATTTCAATTTTTTTTAATTTTTAGTTTGTTTAATATCTTTGTACACTCAGCAGCTGTAATTTTCTGTTCCAAGTGTAATCGTAATTATATATTTTCAGTTATTTTGTTATATTGTATATAAAAAATTAACCTGTATTTGGCTTGTGTCGTAGAAACTTTAAAGATTTTAGATAATTTCTTCATATATAGGATAATAAGTTAAATTCCTAATGACGCTTTTAATATTTTTGTTTGTATAACGTTTTGATAAAAATTAGCATGGTTTCTATTTTTAATCTATTTATCAATTATTTCAATTATATAGATTGTATAGATTATATAGATTGTACAGATTGTACAGATTATAAGATTATAAGTTGATACAAATCATAAGATTATAGAATTCACTCATATATTATCATAGGTATTAATGGTTTATAGATACAATAACTTTATAAAATATTTATATTTATATTTTATAATAAAAACAATATTTATTCAAATATTTTGTAAAATATTGAACATATATTACAGTTCTTCGTATTCTTTAATAAATTCTATTCATTAATAAAAATAATTAAAATTTAAAAATTTCATAATATGAAATAAAAGGAAAGGAAATAATGAAATTAATAAATACAAGAAACTGATAAAGAAAAAGGTTGAAGTATATTAACTGATGTGAAATCTGTGAACATTTCTTTTATAATTTCGTGATAAATATGATAAAGGGTACAATAAAACATATCCTGTTGATGATTGATACTTTCAGCTGAAAATTATTTCCGACTATGGAATCTGATTAGCAGATTATTTTTATTATCTCGTCAAAGAAGGTAAAAACAAATGTTAACTTTTTAATATTAAAATGGATAATTAATTTTTCTATTAAAAACAATTATGATCGTGTATGGAAAATTTCACATCACGATCAACAGTATCATTAATCTCAACCAATTATGCAATATTACTATCACATTATATATAATAATAGGATTTAAATCGTCAAATTATTAAAATGGTGCATTCAATAAGATTGTGTTAAAAATGGCTATTTCATAACGTCGATTCATTATGATTAGCATCTCAGTTATGTCATCTCATCATGAATAAGAACACTTTTTTCGAGAATTATAATTGCATTAAAATATAGGATTTACATTAAAATATATCACCAACGTTTCAAAAAATCAGATTAATAGTCATTTAGACATTTTGATATTTTTGTTAAGCTTTTATAAATTTAAACAAGAACAGCCTTTTATTTAGTTTTTTATATTCACATTTTTTGTTCTATATCTACAAATGTTTGAATTAGGGCAGAATAAAATGAATGTATACAATAAAAGACTGAAATAATTTACTTTATCTGATTTATATAAGAATTTATGTTATCATTACTGCATTCTGTATTGCGTTGAAAATATGTAAACTAATGTTATTTCTATTTCAATAACTAATTAAAATTATATCTTTTTTACAAAAATTAACTATGCGAATCGTGTTGAATTATAAATGTACTTCAAAAGTAAATATTCAATTTTTGTTAATAGTAGAGTGTAAACAAATATAATGAACTAAAAATAAATAATTTAGTATATATTTTAGTTTGTCGATGAATTCATTAATAAAAGTAATTAATTTTGTTAGTACTTAATTATTATTGAATAAATAATACTGTTGTAATTATTGTACTTAATAATATCAAATAAATTATGTCTTACGAATATTACATATGCATAATATAACTTTTATAAGTGTTTTATTTCTATTATTTTTTGCTATTTAAATTTTTGTTCTTTTTTTTAATTTAACAAAACAATAAGTTCAGCTTGTGATTATCAGTGCAACTAGTCAATAATATATAAAAGGATAATTTTTATATAAACAGGATACAAAATCATACATTCTTTACATTAACTTTCCACAAATAATTGTTACATTGGAGTTGTGGTATTGACTAGCTACAAGGAAGACTATAGCCAATAGCCATAAGAATTCATAGTTCCCTAATACGATTAAAATAAAATAATCTCATTTTGGAGATGACAGGCAGACTTTTGCGGTCTATACACCTCATATTCCATCATTTATTTATTTATTTATACCATGACTTTCGATCTTACAGTAAAGTAACACGCTCTCCTCTTCTACGATTCTCATTATATTTCTCCGATTATCTTTATCTATTAGCTACTTACGAAGAAGAAATATTAATATTTATAAAATAGTAATAATCATTTTAATTTATAAGAAATGTTATTAAAAAAAATGATTACAGCAGTTATAGCTGATTTTCTATTTTAAAGATGTATTTATAATATTGTATTATAAAATGATATTGCATTATATATAATTTTGCATTCGTTACCATTGGTTTATTAATCTAAAATAGAGACATTACTGATAGCTTAGGTAAATTAATTAGTTATGATACTTTATAGTTTAAATATTAACAACAATGTTTTGTATTTAAGAAAAAGTTTTTGTGTTATAAAAAATATCAAATTTATAATTTATATGATTCCAATTTCACAATTATTCATTAAAAATTAATAAGTTAATCATTTTATCTATAAGCTATTTAAATAAATATTTAAATAAATATTCTATTTTTATCTTTTATGAATATTTAAGCAGTATGAAATAATTAATGAAATTAGAAATTATTATAAATTGTTTGTTTTAATTAGATATATAATCTGATCGTAATATAGAATCTAGTATCATCAATAGGTATACTTGCATTATAAGGAAAGAAGTTATAGTCATCCGAAAAATTTCACGCTAAGGAATTGCTATAGCGTACCTCTCTCTTTTAAATCGCAGTTGTTCGAGCGTGAGCGAAAGGTAGTTGTAGAGTGGAGGAAAAGACAGTTGAGCAATGAAAGAGGTGGTGGTAGCAAAGGATGAGTAGCAACAGCAGTGGCCATGGTTCTGACTCTTCAGAAGAAGTTAGAGAATCGAGTTGAGTTGACGCAGTTGCAATCTTTTGCGCAGCTTACACGAAGTCACAATACCTACGATTATTATGGCTGGAACACGTGACTCAATTAATGGCCGGTATTTTATGTATACCGTTCTTTTTAAATAGTAACGGTGATCATTATCTTTTAATCTTTATATTTTATTCGATTATTTTTTTATTGCAAAAAAGTGAGATCATTGGTTTGTCATTACTGTGTAGTGTATATTAAGTATCTTAAAAAGTTCATACAGTGATTGTGAAAATATCGAGGACCAAATTAATAGCAAAGTAAGATTTTCAATTTATGTGATATTCTATGCATTAATTACTTTGCTTGCATTTATCAATTTGGACATACTTTTTCTCCAATATTATTAGAATTTTTATAACTTTTATATATTAATCAAACTTTTATAAGATACTTCATCGAATAAAGATTAATAAAAATTATATATTAAAAAATTATATGAATATTGTAATTAAATTTTCTATATTTAAAAGCTTTTCATATATTGTAAATAAAGGAATTATAAACTTTAAATAGAGTCAAATGATAAAATTCATATATTTAATATTTTTAAATATATATTTAATTATGATTTGAATTAAAAAATATAAGAATAAAAATATTATGAGAATATTATGAAACAAACATAACATTCCTATAATTTAATAATTTGGAACTTCATACTATATAATAACTTTCAAGATTATCCCAACATTATATTTAATTAAAGATTAGAAACTTTATAACCTACATTGACTTATAGTGATGGGATGTATAGTATTATCTATATTTATTTCAATTATTAATTGAAAAGTTGAACAGTTTACGCATCCATTTGTAAATATTTGTGAATATTAAAATATGAACTGTTTTTTATTAACTTACTTGAACATCAATATAAAGGGATTATTTTTGTACAAAAATTTTTTATCCATTAAACATTATAGTAGTTAGTAGTAGTCGTTTTTATCTAATCTATTCTATGACAATTATTATTAAAATGACTTAAATTTAATGATATTTTAGCAATAACTAATTAATTATTAATTACATTTGTTATTAATATTATCATAACTAATATGAAATAACTATAATAATTTAAATAACTATAAATAGTTCTAAATTTTTTAAGAATATTTCACTGTCATCCTGAAAAATATCAAAATCGAAAACTATATAAATACTAAGGCGAAAACTGTAGTGGCTAATAATAAGTAGAAACATTTCTATTTGATTTTTTATGTACAACAGTTATTATATTTCGAATAAAGGAAAATTCTTGTATTTTATTCTTATTTTAGTAGTTTTATTTCATTATTCAAAATGTAACTGATTTTAAAGACTGAAAATTAAAAATATCAAAAATATTGAAATCAATCAAAATAATATATAATATTCTTAAATATAAAAAATAATCTACAAGGATCATTTTCAAATTGCATTTTGTCTGAATTTAATGTTAATCTATTTCATAATTATAAATGACTTAATCTGTTTATTAGACCCTCTTACTAAGTATATAGTAATTTTTATTTTAGGTAAGCCAGAATTGTATACAAACGAAAGTTGATTATTTATTAAAATAAAGTATAATATTTTATCTACAAATATATAAGCCCGTAATTAAAATTTTTATAATAAATTTCATTAAGTTAGAAAATTAATTTTTATAATTATACATACTTTAAATATTGTTATAATACATATAAATCAAATACTCTTATAACTATAATTTCTGGTAATTTATATTTATATACTGAATTTTTCTATTTTTAAGTAAATATAAATATATACAACATAATTATTTTTTCTGTAAGCATATAATGTAAAAAAATAATTTTTCCATAAAAAAGAGTCCCTGAAAGTTTTATTTAATAAAATTGTATAATTTATACATTTTTTATGAAATATATTAACTTTATAAAAGATATATGTATATGTATATTATCATAATTATGCTATAATGATGACCTGTTAATATTCATTAGAATTTTCCATAAATTTTAAAGAATTTATCAAATTTGAATTAAAAATTAAAATATTTATTTATCTGTCATTTATACAATGATTGACTAACATTTGATTATGTTTCTGATTACTATATTAAAATATACGAACACCGAATTAATTATAAAATAATTGTATACATATTATTACATGAATTTTTTATAATTGTAATTAATTAGATCACCATTTAGTTCTACTAACTCAATCTGAATTAATAGATTAACTCACAACATATGTATGTTTTAAATCAAATAAAATTTTAATTTTATAACATAATTCTACATTTTTAAAATGTAAAGATTTAAACGTATAAAATTCTGATGAAGATAAATGATAACATAATATATTTAATTTACAAGAGCATTTAATTTATTTATTATTTTAATTCAATGAAATATGTTTCATGATATTAATGAATGCTTACATTATTACCATATTAGCTAAACAATATCGATCGGTATTAGTTCTTAGGGTACCTATGGAATTAAAATTAGCTCACAATTAAAGTTTAATATCTGGTTGAATACAAAAGCGCACAGAATTGGAATTAGAAAGGATACCTCGTTGGCCTACAATGACGTCAACTATACGAAACTATTAGAAACACGAACAATTCAAAATCTTTTGCGAGTAATGCGTAAAGTCTGAAATATATGAGCTCCAATACGTTGTTTCGAATCCTTGAGCCTTCAATTTTCAATAAATAACGAATAAGATTAACATTCTTACTAAATGTATTAATTTACTATATGTATATTATATTCATTCAACTTTCGATTATGCTATACTTAAAGAAAATTTAATCTTATTTATAATATTAAAACATTATTTTATGTAATCGAAAAATATTTAAAATTAGAAATTGTAAAAATATGCAAAGAACTTATAATAAGTAAATTTTACAAAAAAAGTACAATGATTAAAATAATTTATAATGTGCATTTATGTAAAATAGCTATTTAATAATTTAAAATAGAATTTTAATGAATTCCAATATATTATAAAATATAATTTCAATTAAAAAATTTAGAAATGTTCAATTAATAGAAATAATAACAATTCTTAGAGATAAACATATATAGTTTTTAAATATATGGAATACTACATAATTTGTATAAATTTCTATTTATTAATATAAAATTAAATAGCATACAAATAATTTAAATGCATGATTATAATAATTATTTTTTTAATCATTTTTGTATTCTATCCGAGCCCAATGAAATACCTTAACTAAATTGTACATGAATTATAAAAATTGAAACTCATTTTTATATATTTTTATATGGTATGTGTTTTGTTTTGTATTTATATATTGTGTACTATCTAAAATAGAAACAAATATTTTTAAATAAATTTTTAATTTTCAATATATATATTTATATAATTTATATATATATATACATCGATTTGACTATATATTATATACATGGGATATTAATTGTGAAATTTACGAATTATATGTTAAAAGTATTAAAATACAATAATTTATAGAATATTTTTAATTAATAATTTAATTTAACTTGGTGTCTAATCTTTAATATTTAATATATATTTCATCATCTTTTAACAAGATCGTTAATCATCTTCAACCATTTGTGATCAAATTTGATACTGATAATGTATAAAAATAATATCATTGCAAAGAATGAACCACAAAACTGATAAATCTCAGAACATTTTTTAACTATATTGCATATATAATACCGAAGGAAATAAGAGTTTTTTAAATTTAAACTGTCAAAATGTAAAATTTAAAACTGTGGAAATTTATTTTTATGATTTTGGGCATTTTTTCCGTCCTTTATTCCAGTTTCTCTACAAATTCGATTTTAAAATTTATTATTAAATACTTTACTTTAACACTGTTAGAAAATGTAGTATTTAATTAAAATAATATTTAATTTAAATCTCTTTTGATTAAGTAAATAAAGACTAATATTCTTTTTTACAGCTATTTTTATTTTTTACATGATTAAGTTAAATGTTACACAATAACAGTTCTTTATATTACTTTTTGTCTCTTTTTATTAAAAGCGTATTAGATAAATTTGTTATGAAATATTACTTATATTAATTATTCGTTATTAATAAATGCTGTTAATTAGTCTTTAGATACTAACATATTTTCTTGAATGATTTAAAAAATTGTAGTTTATTATAATACATCGTCCAGTTTGCATTTTTATTTTGGAAAAAATTATTATATATTTTTCGTATACTTTGGATTAAATTATTTTATTTAATCATTAAATTATTAACATAGATTAAATTAAAAAAAAAACTCATAATGAATATAAATAAAAATATTAAATTTGAATTGTTTATTATAAGTCTGCAATTTTTGGTATCTTATTTTCCAGAAAATGACGGTATTCATCAATATACTTAATAATTAAATCAGAAAATTATATTTAAACAATAAATAAAATTTTGATAAAAATTACATATGTTGTGATGGAGAGCAATAATAAATATCTAATGGTTTCAATTAAAAAGTTGTGTCACGCTTTCTTGAGGAAACGAAAATTACCCTATTTCAGATTATACAATATGAAAAGAAAATTCTACATAATATTATATAAAATACTAAATTAATTATTTGTAATAATATTTCATAAACACAAATTTAAAGGGAAAAATGATTTCCAAAAATAAATTTTTTTATTGCAAAGAATATGCTTCATACGTAAAAATAAAATAATAATAACAAAATAATGTAAATATAATAATTACTAATATATAAACTATTTAAAAAACAATATATCTTGAAATATATTACAATGTATGTATATATATTGTAATAAAACTTGAAATATATACACAATATATCTTTTTAATTACATATTACAGTAAAAAATTATCTTATTTTTCCTTCTACTTCTTTTTTAATTTGTAGTAGAAAATATAGAATATTTTCTATAATATATATAATACTGTAAGTTCTTAAATAATTTTAATTTATTATAATATTTTTAATTCTTTAATTTTTAATTGTTTTTAAATTAAATTTTATTCGAATATATTTTAAATTAATAAATTATTTCAAATAATGTCGATACAGTGCAGAAGTTACTCCATATGTGCCTTACAATTTCGATTTAGATTAATTATCAGAAATAATTAGCTCAATAACTTTCGAACTAAATTCGATTTTATTTAGTATTTATTGCCTAAAATTCAAAAACTCTTTCATTTCGTTTAAGATTCCTAAGTGACACTTGAATAAAAATTTATAAAAATAAAAAAAAAAATTAGTTGTTATATAAGAAAATACATATTAGAATATATACGAATATAAACAAATAGCAGTATATTATAAATGAAAAATCATTCTGCATGTATAAAATAAAAAATTATTATTAAGTACATTTATTTGTACTTGTCAGTTTTATGAATATTGAAATATTGATAAAAAGATATTTATTCAATTTTGACAATATTCCCTAATCAAAATTCTTATATTTAATAGAAATTGAAACTATTTCTATTGCAGTTATCCAAATACATTGTATAGTCAAATAAGCTATACTTCGCCTAGTTCTCCATTCATTCTTAATAAAATTTGAAAAATAAATATTCTTTCTAATTCCACATCAAGGAAATTGTCTAATAAGAAACAGCATCATTTACCATCGTACATCGTTTTCGATCATTTTCCTTGAAAAAGAATGTTTAGTATATCTCACGATCAAATTTAAAACGTTTATTAATTTATTTATTATAAGATTCAATATACAATAAATACTATTCTATATCAAGTCGAATTTTATTTGTAAATGAAAAATAGAGAAATAAATTAAATAATGCTAGAGGATAATTTTTTTAATTTAAATTTCAAGCAATTGTAGAGTTTAAGAATATTCCTATATTTAAAAAATCCCTTTACGTTTTAATCCCTTTATATTACATATTTTTATATTCGACATAAAAAGACAATCTCAAAACTTGAACAGTATTCCAAATAAACTGCGCAGGCTGTTCTCATGTATATTAAAATAGATAAATATTCTTACCCTCGTAAATAAGATCAACACGAAAAACGTATTATAGAATGTTCAGTCTACTTTAATTTTTATTTTATAAAGTTAAGAAGATTCTGAATATTATATTTTTTCTTTTCTTTATATTGACATAACGATTACGTATGCTTAAACGAAACGATTACGTATGCTTAAACTTATAAACCATTTAAATATTCTTAAACCTATATCATCATTGTTTTTTAAAAATGATGTAACTAAAATTTAAACGTATAAATAATGATTGAAAATTAAAATTTTTATAATTCAGAAAATATTATTACATGTAATTTACAGATTTTCAAGATTTAAAAACAATAATAATTAAAATATTTTAAAAATTCTATTAAAAATTAATGTATTAATATTTTAAAAGTTTTTACACAAATATTTTAAAAACAAAAAGTAATAATAAATAAATCATATTTCTAGAAAAATACTTTACTAATGAATAAATTCAATAAAATCTAAAAAACTATTAAGCAATCAATAATAATCGATTTAAAAAAATCTATTAAGTGGTACAGAAAATTTCTGCAATTTTTTAAGAATATTATTCATTTTTATCAAGATAATTATATATCTCTTTTTTTAATATTGATGTAATTTTTTATCTTTTTAAATTATATTATGAAGATTAACTGAAACTTGCATCATTTATAGGACGAAGGAAAAAGTAAAATATAGTTTACTATGAATAGATGTACATCGATAGCAAATGCTATATATCAGGATGTTATAATAGAATAAAGGATAACACTTTTATTTAAATTCGGTTGATTTTTACGAAATCTGACGTGCTATTCATAACTTAAATATAAAATGTTTAAAGAATTTTATAAATCAAATAATTTTGATTCTTTATATTATAATATATCTTGTAATAATAATGGTGATTATCTCAGAATAGTTACAATCGTCTTAGAATAGCTTTATTATTAATATAAATACAATATACATAAAATTATTGAGAAACATTTTATAAACAAATCTTATTTGCTTTCAATAAATTATATATTCAAAAATAATAAATATAAACATAAGTAAATATAATATATTATGCTTGAAAAATCTTTTGCAATTGATCCTTAAAATAGTGTCTATTAGAAATTAAATTTTCACTTATGAGGTGAGAAAGTCTGATAAATTTAGATAGATTTACATTTATTGTTAAATTAATAGCACTGTCCAGAATTTTTCTATTAAGAAATACTTTTTTATTTGTAATTTGTAATGCTTATATGATGCAATTACTCTGATATATTTTTTAAAGATTTTTTTATTGCTTTATTTGCTACTAATGGTACAATCGTAAATAAGATTTTTTTAATATATTGTAGAACTATGATAAATACTACAAATATTTTATATAAATTCATTACAAAACTGTCTTTGTAAAATAAATTTTCAAAATTATTACTTTAATGTATTACTGAATTTTCTAAAACTTAAATATTATTAAATATATTATTTTTCTTACACATTTTATCTAATTTAAAATAATTCTTTAATTTATTTGAAATAAAAGAATTGATTTTTAAGACATTGATTTATTACAGGTTAAGGATATCATATATGAATTAAAAGAATGTATTAAGAATATATCGCGTGTATATGGAATAAGAGATTATTAAAATCGATTTTTCTAAATAAAAATATCATAAATATATAAGTTAAAAAATAAAACAAAATAAATGTAGTAAATGAATAATAAATAAATATAATAATTAAAATTAAATACATAAATGCATACCATTTTTGTTACCGTATCACTTATATCATTAATAATAATTAACGACAATAACAGTTTTTCTTTTTATCAAAAATATAAAGAAAAACATGTTTAAAAATATATACAATTCACTTTCATTACATCAAAATGCTTCTTTTTGAAAAATAATTAGTCAAATGTACTTATTATTCTATTATATATATATATATATATATATATATATAGCTTGTAATAAATAAAAAATTATATTTTAATTAAAAATAAAAAGTTCTATTATTCTAATTCAATCTAACCTGTTTATTAGAAGTGTGAAATTAATATATTAATGTTCTAAATTAATATAATTTAATTTAATAATTAAATAATTTATTGTGAATTTAATGATTTATCTACACATGTTATTTTATAATACAAAATATTAAAACAACTAACGTTCTTATTTGTTGTTACATATATATAAAATTATATTTCCATTCTTTAAACAATATGGACTTAGTTTATCATCATATCACAGAATATTATAATATAATCATACTCTGAAGCGTTAAAAGTATTTATAAAGAAATAATAATAATAATAATATAGTATAATATTATAATAATTTGTTATAATAATAAATGACAATATATTAAATTCAACACAATATTATAAATATCTCTAAATTTAGTAAAAAGTATGTTTTAGAGTCGTTTAGTCTATTTTCAAATAACTACTAAAATTATTTAAATATAATCTAATAGTAATTCAAGATAAAAAGCTGTATATGTATGTATTATTTTGAATATGAATTTTCTTTGTAGAAGTCGAAAGGATGATTTACTTTATATATAATAATTCCTATTCTCCTACAAAATCTTAAATATTTATATTGCTGATTAGTAATATCAATTACGTCTGTTAATGAATCCTTTAATCTATATTGTATATATCGTGTATGTTTTTATGAATCTGCTTATTTAAAAAAATTATTATAAGAGCAAATAAATTTATTTATTATTTAACTTATGCAATAACGCCTGTTTCTTGTAGATGCGATTCTCACAATCTGATGTTTTATCTCTCACCCTCTTTTCCCTTTTTTCTCGACTGTTTGACTTTTGCCTCCTTTCTGACTTTTTTTCCCCTCTCTTCTCGACCTTTGCAGGGTGCAACATCAGGATGTCAGTGAGGATGAATCCACACAAGCAGATAAACTTAAACTCAATGGTGTTCGTCTTGGGAACTCTTGAGCTCGATTTTCTTGGTGAGCATGCTCAGATAATGGGCTTACAAAGCGTAACAAACTGAAGCTGAGGTCAAGTGTCAAAAAGGAAAGAGATAGATAGATAGATAAATAGATAGATAGATAGATACATAGATAGATAGATAGATATAAATACATAGGTCGATAAATAGATAGATTGATAGAATGACAGGTATGTTAGAGAAAGGCAGAAAGAGAGGGTGAGAGAGAGAGAGAGAGAGAGAGAAAGAGAGAGAGAGAGAGAGAGTGCTGGTGGGCGAATGACTGCGAAAGTGCAGGGGCGAATGGGAGAGCTTAGCACTTTCTATCAAATAGTGTTTTTTTCAAATATATTTGAAAATATCAATATATCAATTATGTTATAGAACCTTTCCAATTTATTATTTACCTATACTTATTTTATGATTATAATTTTATACTTTAAATACATCCCTTGTTCAAAACTATGTTAACTATATATTTTCTTTACTTTATTATTTTAATTATTCGTTGGACATCAACGCTTCAATGATCTATGTAATAGATAACAAAATTTAAGTAATGTACTACTAACATTAAAAATAATTTCAATACTTTGAAATAATATATAAATACTTTTTAAATCTTTAAAATTCACTTTTAATTCACAAGAAAGTAATATATATATACAAATTATAAAGCTTTATCACTTATTTTCTAAATAATTTTTGTAAATATAATATATATTTTATGTAACTGTCTATAATTTGAAATATTTTTCTAAATAATGAATAAAAGATTTGACATGAATTAATTAAAATAAATTGTATTATGAAATAAAATGCAATTGAAATTTCTTTTTTACTTTGTTCAATTTTATATCTAATTTATAACAGATTTCTGTCTTCGTATTAACTTCATAAGTCTTTCATTTTTGGAAAATGTACTATATATTTGTACACAATATATAACTTATAGAAGTTCTTTAGCAATTCATTTTTTTCCTATTCACCTTTAATTAAAATCTCCTAATTTAACATTTCGTAACTTTCTGAATTCTTTTCCTTCCTCTTTATATTCCTCTTTATATATACATACATATTAATTTCTGATTTCTCTTTTTTTCTGATGTTGACTGTAAAATAATTATTAGTTAACGGAAGGCATCAATTACCTTATCATTAATTAATTGTTGATTATTCTAAACATTTTAAAGTAAAATATAAAAAAATAGCAGTGTTTCTTTTTATGTATTCTTGTCAATATTATGACCTACATACTTAGTATTTTTAGAGTGATTCAAGATTCTAATTATTCTTATTTAAAATAGTACATAATTACCAATAATAGAAATGTATAATTGTTAATTTTTAATTTTAATGTGTTCTTATTATAATTTAAATATAAAATATACAAATAGAATTTTGATATAAATTATTACTGAATAAATTAAAAAATTGAATAATCTAATAACAAAGACTTTGATAAACTTTTTATTAAATAATTTTAAAATAATAATAATAATACCCTACTATTTAAAACATAAGTTCTTTCAACGATATTATCAACACTTGAAATAACATAAATATTAAATAAATTTGGAACCATATATCATTATTTATTTATCGAATAAAGTTATGTTACGAAATTTATAAATATATCATTTAATACTCTCTAATGCATAGATATAAATTTATTAAAAGAAAATATATTAAATAAACTTTAAATTTAAATAAAATATACACTATTATAAATTTCAAACATTCTGGCATACAAAGGTTGGTTTTTATTTGCCATAGATGCCGCAAACCGTACCAACGGCTGTTGGCTTATCATCGGCATTCGAGTACAGCACTTTCCAATTTGATTTATCATTACTGTCGGATGATTACACTATCACGAATACAACTATGATATCAAATCATCTTCTGCAGGTTGGATGTGGTAACCTTAAGCCAACTCAAATAAAACAAGAAGCTTGTTCCTCTAGATCTGTTTCACCAACTTATACATACTCCAGCCCACCATATCCTTGCTTAAGTGGTGAAATATCACCTAATTATGCACGTGACGCCTCTCCAGTTTACCCTGCAAGCCCCTATTATGTACCTCAAAGTCCACAAAGTGCTCAGCTCTATCCTACAAGTCCTGAGCCAGCGATCACTATTACTAAGCAACCCGTCATTAGAGAAAAAAGTTGGGATCTTTTTACTATACTTAATGAATCTAGGTAAGAACATTTTCATTTATTATATATGAAATTCAAATTGGAAAATATTAAATCCATAAACGAATATCAATTATAGTTACGTTAAAATTTCTTCATTCTATCTACTAAATGCAATTTATCACTTAATATATAAGTATGATATTTGATTTTTAACAAAATACAAATTATTTTATTATTATTCCTCTTTTTTTGCTTTAAGTACTATAAAGGTTTTCAAATATATGATAACTACAATTAAAATTATTTTTGATAAATTTTTATTATTAAAATCGTTATTTTATGTTTTTTTCCATATTAATCAATAACAATAAAATACTCTGAAAAATTATGTAATTTTACATACATAATCTAATGTAGCATTATATTATTTAAATTAAAGTAAAATTCTAAATGTTTTTATGATAATTTAATAAAATAGAAGGAGACACATAAATTTATAAAGTATGAAATATGAAATTTTATGTTGTAAATGAAATAAATAAAAATATTCATTTAAAAAAAGATATTAATAGTGCTTACTATAAACAATATTTATTATACCATAGTAACGAAAATCCTAAGCTATTTAAACAATTGACAATCTCTATCAAATTCATTATTTAAATTAAGTTCGATAAAAACATATCTTAATAACTTTTACCAACTAAATATAGATATAACCATCATTTAAATAAATATATACAGCATGTTTAATAAATACATTTAACGTTTCTAATTTAAAAAGTAAAATAACACGAAGTATTAAATTGAGGATGTTGAAAGGGTCTTATGAATTATTTGACAATCATAATAAACTAGTACTAATAAAGAGATGATTAACCAATAAATAAATCCTTAATATATTAATAAATAAATAAAAATTCCATATTTTTGTCATTCTCAATATTATTTTAGAATTCTCGCAGAAAGTTTAGGTTATAAAGCAGATTCTACAGATTGTACAGTACCTTGTACACCTCCTAGAACAGAAGAAGATATTTACAATGCACTCGATGCCGATTTCTTTCCTATAAAAGAACAATCCAATCCTTTACTGAAAGAGATTCTTTTTAAAGAAGATATTAATTTCTCCCAATATTCATCTTCTACTTCATCTTTGGCTTCAAATTGTTCTAACTCATCAATAGCTTCTTCATCAGCTACTGTTTTAGATTATGATAAAACCTCACTACGTGACCTCCTATTCTATAATACGAAATGTACTATTATACCAAACCGCCAAAATAATGAGAGTAGCATACTGATCAAAACAGGTAAATCAAAAGATTTTAATACTTCAAAAGATATAATTGAAGAAGATCCTGAATCAAAGGGTGACCATCTACTACTCAGGGAAGTTCTTAGAGATACGAGTTTTCAGCGCAGGTACAATCTAAGACCTATTGATTTTGGTACAGTTGGAACTGGTTTTGTTGAAGATATGGCCGAATCTGGTGAGTGCGTTGAAGATCTAGCGTGCGAACAGATAGAACCAGTATTGAATTTGGCTATTCAACAATTGCAAAAAGACTTCGATAATACCTGCGTGGCTCTTGGCATACATCCTGGTGGGTTAATTTTGTAAATTAATGTATGTTATTTTATATAAAACTATATATTGCAAATATTTTAAAAGAGTTTTCATATTATAAAAAAAATTTTTTTTAATTTTTCATATTCCATCAATTTATTTTGAATTAATATTATAAATTAATAAGAAAAATTTACAAAGAATCATCCATTAAGTTATAATGTTGAAATTCTTTCTGAAATGTCTGTGAGTTGTCGAATTTCCTTCTTATTTAGTAATTTATAATTAAACTTTTATGATAATAAATCTATGTACTAAATTATTAAAATACGAGTTTATATTTAATTGCTATTGAGCAGATCAAAAGATAAATGAAAAAGTCGTATAACATTAACATTTATTAAATAATATTATCTTTACTTTAAATATTCATTTTACTTTCGGTACTATAAATAAAGAAGTAATAAAAATATAAATATAATTTTGTGCAGGTAATTACGAAATACTAGCAGCATTTCTTATTTTTATGTTATTGTTAATATTTATTGTAACTTTGACTGTTGATAAGACGTTCAATAATAAAAGTAAAATATGTGATATTCATCAAAATTTAACACCTTATAGCATGCTATCCATCAGTACAACACTTCTTGCACACTAACGATGGGTTTACTATTGCATGTACGAAAAATTTATTGTATATATATTTTTTTTTCTAATCTTATTTGCATACGACTAATATGTTGCATTATATTCGCTATTAACGACATTCGTACAATTCTTAATTTTACAATAATATGAAAACATTTGTACATGTACAACATTTATCATGAATAATTTTAATATACTTTCTAGTATTAAATGTTCAAGTTTTCAATTCATTTTTGAAAATCCTTTATTATATTTCATTTCAGTTTTGCTAATTTAATATAAGTCTCATTGACATAGTAGAATATTTAGTTTTCCCTTTTTTTTTTTTTTTTTTTTTTTGGTAATCAAATCTATCTCGCAACAGATACTTTTCGGCGGTGAATTTCTTACAATGTTATAATTGTTATTGTCATAATTCATACATTAACTAATATTTTAAAAATAATTTTTAATAAGTATTTAGGAAAGTCTTACCAAATAAGTTTGTATTTATCCATATTCATTCTTTTAACATAGAAAGCAAGTTGTATTTAATTCTTTAAATTTATGTTTACAAAGTTTTTACAAATACTAAATATTTGTTTCTTCATTTTATAAAATGTGGAATATTCTATTAATATAGTTATATATTTTTAATCGAAATCCTATTGAATTTTTAAATAAATAATGTATTTTAAATCTAACAAAACTTTCGTATAACGATATATTTATTATATATCCAAAATTATAAGATACAAAAGTTTAGCTATTAATAGCAAATCAAAAACTTAATTATGTAAAATTAATTAAATGATAAATTATTATATTTACTTATTTAATATTAATTATGGATAAAAATGAGCTAAATTTTACTCTATGTAATAACATTTTTTAGTTACATGTAAATTAATCAAAGTATTTTAAATTTTCTTTATCTATGTTTTTGGTTGAAACATTATTACTTTTAAAAAAGTATTATAAAAATATCATTTTATAAATCTTTGTATTTTTATAATCTATAGTATTATTTTTTGTTATAAATATTTCTCTCTATGTAAAGTGCCTAAATTTCTACTAGAACTTATAAATGTTTCTGGATAATTACAAATACTAGTGCAATAGTTCGATTTTTACATTTATTTAGACATCTATTTGAAATATTTTTTGCTCGTATGTTTCTTATTTAATTCTTCTGCTGTTGATTTTTAAAGTTAAAAAAACTTTAAATTAGATTTATATATTATTTATAAGATATTTGTACAATTTTTATTACTATTTTGCATTAACTTTTCTTATAAAAATAACTTGTATTTTTCATAAATCAAAATATATTTATTAATATAAAATTTACAAAAGTTTTACTATATTTAAAACTTGAATATGTCAATAGTCATACAACGATGTATATCGTGTATAAAGTTGTATAATTATTTGTTAGAGTTGAATATTATAAATATATAACTTTTAATTATTTATAAAGTATATTTAAAAATTTTTTAGTAATATTTCATCATTACAAAAATTTTCAAAATTCAACGCTAAAATTATCTAATGTTAGTTGCAGTAATAATAACAATTAGTAAACTATTTTTATGAGTCAATTATGGAAAAATTTTTAATCAGATTTTTCAATCATCAAAATACTATTGTTACAAACTATTTGTATTTAATTAAATTAAAAATATAAAATAATAAATTATTTTAAATCATCTAAAATTTATTGTAGAACCCCATCGATGGAGTATGTCAGATGTCGCAGCTTGGGTACAGTGGGCTAAAAGACAATTGCAGTTACCATTAGTATCATTGGATCGTTTTAAAGTAGATGGTTTGACTTTAGCTACTTTTACAGAAGAAGAATTTTGTCAAAGAGCTCCTGAGGTACATTTTTATTCAAATACTTTATTTTTTTGCAAACATTATATATTATAAAATTATTAATATATGTTAATAGTTATATTAAAAATATTGTCTTACATTTAATTGCAATCAACTATGCAAAATATATGTATACATATTCTCGTATTATTTATTTATTTTTTCATTAATAATTACTCAATTCTGTATGTATGTTAAATAAAAGATGAAAATGTAAACAATATTATTGTACGAAATGTTTATTCTAATTATTTATTCACGAAAAATATTTGTGTAAATAATTTAGAACTAAAAGAATAATCAATATTCATTAATTATTATATATATAATATAAATAAATATAAGATAAAGTTACATGCATTTTCATTTTTATACGAATTCACAAGATATTACTATAACCTTATCAATTTCATTTATAAACACAGTTAGAAAAAAATTTATATAATATTTTTATTGGATTTTTTAAGTATTTTTTAAACAAATAATCAGTAAATGAATATTATACTCGATCGAATAATATTTGAATACATATTTAAATATCAGTTTTTTAAAATAAACAAAAAAATTTTTAAATAATAACATTCTATATGTGAACTTACTAATTAATTATTTAATTAGTTGTACGTAGAATAAGTAGTAATTATTTGAAGTATTAATAACGGAAAATAAATTTAATGAATTATTTTTTATATCATTTAAATTAGAAGTTTAAAATAATGATGAATTAAATTAACGGTAATAAATATTTTTTATCTCATTATCTATAATATGTAATATCATAATTAAATTGAAATTTGGCCAAACAAAATATATTATTCTATTTCCATATAAACCATTTTTTATCTGGAACTCACTCAATAAACTTATAAATATTTAAAATTTATAAGACTTCATCTATTAAAATATATAAAAGACACCATTTTCCAAATGATTAGTAGCAACTATAAAGAAAAACTTCGGCGACATACGTACATATGTGTTTTAGTCTGCTGTAGTGAAAGTGAATTTCCGGGAAATCCCTGATCAAGTATGACGTCTTTTCTTGCAGCGAATAGATGCATGCAATCAACAACAGGAATACGCAACATTCCTTACCGTTTTTTATTTGTAATTTTAAGGCACTTGTCTATTTCTCGGATTTTATCTTAATAATGAAAATACGACAAAACAGGAAGCGATCAAATATTCATAGTACTTTATTAATTTAATTAATAATAATACATTTTTATTAATATAAATTTTGGTTTTTAATATTTTTTGAAGTAAATTATAATATTATTGTATGTAGTTTAGCTTAACATAAGACGCTGTTTATACCTAACTCCAAGCTTTTTAAATAATCTATAGCTTAATAAATATTTTATTATGTAAAGTGTAATATATTTTATTATTCAATAGAAATAATACTTTATAATTAAAAATAGTGAATTGAATTATATTAATGAAAATTTATTAAGTAAGTATATACAATTTTCTAAAAAACTTTATAAAGGAACGAACTATATATCTAATAAGAAATAAGCATATTCTTCTTCAATTTATTGTGTAATATTTATACTTAGATAAACATATAATATCAGATTTTTAAATTCAATTTTTCAATTAAATTTTCTATTTTGAAAATACAATATGTAATTTTTAATTCACTTGTATCGAAATATTCACGTTTCTAATGTAAATGATTTCTTTTCTTCGGTGCTGATACGTAACAATTATAAACATTAATAATACTTTTATTACGTCTTCTGATAGTCTTTGAATATAAATTATAAATTGAAAAATATGCTCAAAATACCTATATTAAATATTATTAATCTTAATAATTGTCTTAATTTACACATTGGTACACTTTTCATACTTTCAAAGTAAGCATAAGATTTAATATTTGATTGTTTAGAAATATATAAATGTAAATGTCATAAAACTATATTTAATTAAAAAGATAATTTATTGTTTATATTAAAAAATAAATGATAATAATTTATTGATAATTTTTAAATAAAGAATTGAATTTTCAATATTATAATATATAAAAAGTTAAAATATAAAATCAAAAAATAACAGCAATATTAACCTAAGATGATTTAAAAAAAAATCTTAAAATGTAGATTATTTTTCAAAATTTGTAATGTGTATTATTTCTCAATTTTTTGTTCATTATAGGTATCGTAATAAAATATAAAAACCATTTCCATTAAAGGGAATCATATGTTGGACCTTTAAAAAATTATCTTTTATAAAATTACTTGAAAATTTGTATAGTAAGAAAGGCGCAAGAATAAGCAAAGATAAAAGTGGGTCAACCATGTTGCGCGATATCGCACTGCACGTCGCGACTGCTTTCTCTTGGCAGTGTATAATAATAAGACGATGTATCGATGCGAGGCGCACGATCGGGAAATTCTAGTTCTCATACGTGTATCTCTATGTTTTATATATTCTATATTTTCTCTTTCCAACTGCATAGGTACAAAAATCAAATCTTTATTAATGTTTACATTATTAATTTGCTTAATTATTTGTCAGATAGACATTAGTATTATTAAGAAATTTTGCTTTTATTAGGATTTACAACATTTTTTATAAAATAGATATATTTTTTAAACAATTTGTTATTAAATATTAAATGGAATATTTAATTATTAATAGTAAATATTGAATGTACTAGTAATCAAAATAGTCAATAAAAAAAGTAAACAAAAAAATTCATTAGATAAATAACACTGCAAGATTTATACTATTCAATAAAATATAAATACTATTATGGTATAAGATATATACTATATCCAATGTAATTTTATTGTCGAACGTTCGTCTTAACTACTAATGACTAGTCATAGAGAAATTTTAGCAAATCTAACTTACATATGCAATTTTTAGTTATTTTAAATATATTACTAATATGATCACTATTTACAAATTTTATTTAAACTTATGTAGTATATTATTTTAAGCTATATTCAGTCAAACTATTAAATTCCTTATTTGTAAATATAATTATGTAAATATAATTTACAGTATCTCAATAAGTTTTCTTTTAAATAAGATAAAGAATAAACTTTGCATTAATCTGTTACAGTAATCGAAATTCAATATTCACTTAAAAGTAAATATTTTAAATATTTACAATATTCATGTAACATTTATGACAGAAAAATAAATGTTTTAACAGTATATTTTAGCAATATTAATATGTTTAACGAAGTAAATTGTAATTAATTTTGCATAATTTGCACAATAGTTATTATAACTAGTAATTATAATATTATTAACTTTATCAGTTTTTTTATTTAAATGATTTATATGCATTAAAAATCATAAACTTATAATCAACAAATAATAGTATTTCAATATATTTATAAAATGAAAATTACGTAACAATACAATGATATTCGTAATCTCAATGTTCAATTTAGAAATTAAATAATTATTTAAAACATATAAATTTAATTCAAATTTTATTAAAGCCATCTTCAAAAACTTTTTTAGTGTGGCAGTATGCTACATGCTCAATTGGAAATCTGGAAAGCAGCTGTTGAGGAATCACCAAGAAATACATTGGCAACATCTGGGACTTCTATGAGTGTTCTACAGTGTTCTGATAATATCGGTAGTTCTCCATCGATTGCGAGTTGTATCTCAGATAATATGAAAGATTCATGTAATATGGATTATTCCGATGGTCTGTTTCAAATATACTTTTAAAATAAAAATATATGAATCTTTATTATTATATTATTATATACATATGTATAATTTTATAATAGTATTTTATAATTGTAATAATATATATATTATTTAAAATTTTTATATATATATTATATATATATGTGTGTGTATTTATGATTAAATAATACATTTTATAATTATAATAATGAACATAATTATTAAAAGATAAAGAAAAATTAATTTTGAATCATAGATTAAATTTACAAATTATCGTTATTACATTATCATTTAATGTAAATAATAAATTTATAATAATTTATTGTAATAATTATAATACCGCTATAATTTCTATTATAGTTCTATATTCTAATACAGCTTCTATTAAAATAATCAGGTAATAAAAATTTATTGTTATATTATATATTCTAAATAAATATTGATTATAATGTGTATAATAGATGCGACTTTAAATTTGATAAATAAAAGTTCTAAAAAAAATCTAATAGAATATTATGGAGTTTTATTAAATTTTGTTCGACCAATAGATTAAGCATTAGTAATGTAAAGATTTAAAGTCATTCCAATCGAAATATACAAATTCACTTGATAATAGATTTTGTAAATTAAATTATTAATACATGAAATGATATAATTCATAATTTGATTGAGATCAATAACTTTGAGACCATATATAAAAATTATAAATAATATAAGAAACTGTTTATTAAGACAATTTATTCAAATGAATAAATACAATTAAAATGACTAATTTCAAAATAAAATAAAACAAAATAAAATACTTTATGGGCTTTGTTAAACAAGATGTATAAATATTTGAATTTTAAAAATTTTTTATTATATTGTTTAAATAAAATGCATGACATTTTTTGTTGTAGATGAAGATGAAATAAGCTCTATAGAAACAAGTATTAGGAACAGGGAAAACAATAAAATTCGTAGTAACGGCTCACACATTCATCTCTGGCAGTTTCTGAAAGAACTTCTTCAATGTCCAAGTATTCATGGTTCATGTATACGATGGCTTGATCGAAATAAAGGTATATTTAAAATTGAAGACTCAGTACGTGTGGCCAGGCTCTGGGGTAAACGCAAAAATCGACCGGCTATGAACTATGATAAACTTAGTCGCAGTATTCGTCAGTATTATAAAAAGGGAATCATGAAAAAAACTGAACGTAGCCAGAGGTTAGTTTATCAGTTTTGCCATCCATACTGTTTATAAAGCTAATAAACAACAATAAGAATTTTAAGTTTCCAAATTCGATAACAATATTTTCATATTCTAACATTTATATATAAAGTATAAAAGCAAACACGTGTGAGACTCAATTCCTTTTTATTTAATGATTTATTTTTATATTGTTAACAAAATAATTGTACATATAATGTAAAGAAGTACAAAGACATTAAGAATTTATTGATTACAAATTTAATGTATCAACAATATAATATTGGTTTTTAATTAGTAACGATACTATATAACGAAAATCGTGGATATATGTAAATATGAGTAAAGTAACGAAAAATAAGATTATATTGAGACTTGAAATAATTTAAAAAATATATAATACATATATTTGTTAATTATATGAGATTTTACTAAAAATTCTGTTAGTTTTAAAGTAAATAAATACTTTAAAACTAACAATTATCTATTAAACTTTATATTATAAACTTTATACCCTTAATACAGTTAATAGGGGCTGTTGTATAAATTGTTTGTGTACGACTGCTTGCACGCGCACGAGTGTATATGAATGCGGCACGCATCTTAATTTATATTATAGGTTATGTTTGAAATCTTTTGCATATTGTTTTATGTACGAATTAGAGCATATAAAGCCTTACGAAATGTGGATTAAGATCCATAATGCCTTCGTTGTATGTAATAACAATGATAAAGCATGAGGGTCTATCATGTAAGCCTATTTAGGCATCATTTTTATATTTTTATTTCTACATATTGTGTATTTATGTAGATTAATAAATTTTGGTAAATATTATAAATGTCAAAAAGCACTCGGGAGGTACGTCTCGAGTTACTAACAAAATCGCTAATTTTTTATCTTTATTACTTTATTGTTTAAAATAAGATACAAAATGTGAAAAATAATTTATGAAATCTTGTTTATGATTGCTTACTGATCTCATCAAGTTCAAGCTTTATAGGATTATCTTAAATTTTGTTGATAATATTAAATATAAAATTGTTCAATACTGCTTGATCAACATTAATAATATTTAAAATAAAATAAGTATCATAAAGTATCTCAGTAAAAGATCGAATTTATTTTTAAATAGAATAATATAAAAATTATTTATTTATAACATTACGTATTTTTATAATTTATTATATAATATAATAATTTTTTACATGAAATAAATTTATTTTATGTTAATAATAAACATGAGTTAATTAAATGCTGAGAATTTGATGAGATCGGTGATTTTAGTCCTATATATCTATGATATATTAATCTAGTATGTTCCATGAACGAATAGTTTAGAAAAGGCTTAAATAAGGCTCACGTGGGCCATATTCAATTAACTAAATAATAATAAACACAACTTATTTTATTGCATTATATTTTACTCATTTGTGTTTATATATTTTATTGAATATTTTGTCATGAATATTTCATGTTTATGTAAAAAATATCATATTTTGCCTAGATTAATAAAAATAATTGAGATATATTGTTAATTTGAATACATGGTTATTCTTATGTTTACATTCTCGCTTGTTAACTAAAATATTCGATATAATGCTTAATATCTATGTCTAAGATGACTTATAAGCATTTAAAATATCTTATAATTATATGAATGTAATAAAAATTAATAATAATAATTCATATATTGAACATTTATATTGAACATCAGTAAAATTGATTTTCATTTATTTTGTTTTCAAATTGTATTTTAATAATTGAGTTACTTTTTATAAAATAATATAGAAAATATTTTTACTTACATAATTTTAAAGTTTTTAGTTAATGAAGTACAAGTATGATATTTTTATATTTCATAATTAATTATATATAGAGAATAATAACTATAAATATTCATAGAATTTTAAGATGAAACAAAAAATATTTATTATATTCCATAAAATAATAGGATTTTTCATTTATTTAATTTAATTTTAAACTTTCGTTTTTGTATGTTTTAATATCAAAATTTACAAAATTAAATTTTTATAACTGCATTTATACATAACTTTTAAATTTATTATTCTTTTGTTTTAATAATAATTTTATGAATAATACTTATAGATAAGTATTATTATTATACTTTAATATGTAGTAAAGTATAGTGTTTTAAGTTATTCAAGAAGCTAAATTTACTAAAAACATTGAATTTTTTATTATAAATTATATTTGATTTAACAATTTTGAATTTATTTATAAAATACCTCATATTCTAAATATAAAACTCAGTATATGGACAAGTGCGAAAGGTGTCTGCGCGCGCATGTTCGTATGTCATTTTTAAGTAATACTGTTATGTAAAATATGATGCAAAAAATTATAAATATTGTAAGCATTCAACAGGGTGCAATTATGCAAGGTAATTCTTGATTTATAAAAATTAGGAAAATGTTTAGCATTGAACTCCTTACTCTCTCACTCTTAACTCTTTACTTATTAAAGATATATTACTACACAGTATAAAATGAAGCTGGTTTTTTTATTGTAGCATTTACAATATTTATGATCGTAGTTTTTATCTTATTAAATATACTTTAGAATCCATTTATTTTTATTAACAAAAATCATTAATATACAAAATTTTATAAATATTCATGAATAGTGAAAAAGTTTGTTTTATAATAAAATAACAGTTTGTTTCTCGTTGTGCTATCTATATTACACTTATCATTTTATTGAAATGCATCGTAATGTAATTTAGAAATAGATTGGATCTATATTATAAATAATAGCGATACTATGTAAGTAAAATGTCATATTAATGTCATTAAATGTCATTAATATTATATTTTTGTAATTCTAAATATTAAATGAAATTTATATTTTACATGTTTTATATTTTATTCGGCCTAAATACAATATACATACACATTTACACACACACACACACACACACACACACACACACACACACATATATATATATATATATATTATATGTATGAAAGACAAAGTATTAAACTTATTTATGCTATTCATTAATGTGTCTTGTACATACATAATGATTAAAAACATTTTTAAACATTTACTTTTCTAATGCCAATATTTTTATCGGAGTTGTTATTTAGATTAACCACTGAATAAATTAATTAAAATTTTCAAATATAAAAAAATTTAAATACAATTTTTGTATTTACTTTTACGCTCGAAAATAGATAAAATATTTAATATATAAAACATTACTAATTATAAAGTTGAATTGACAGATTTCTCATTTAAATCTGTTTTAATCTATAGTCGAGTAGATTGGTATATAATCATATTTTTTCATATAAATAGACGGATATACCAATTAATACAAGAAAAGTAAGTATAAATAAAGAGCTTCCAGCTCACTCCTTGCTTTCTCATATGCCTTTTACTTTTATCGATTCAATATTAAAGACTACATTTTTTTAAAGATGATATTGTAAAAGCTAAACATGTTTGTTCTAAGTATTCCTTTCTGTTTTTATTATTCCTTTTTTTCACAAGCCTTTAAACTTATTTATTTTCCTTTTTTCTTTTATCTTCCTTTTATCGATTATTAATTTTCAGACAATTCAGCTATTGTAAATCAATAAAATTCTGCACAAATTAAATTAATATAATACTTTATTTAATGTAGTATATAATTCAATTAGATATCGTTATGACATCGAATTGAAATTAAAATTATATAATACAAACTTATGTAGATGATTCTAAATCTCATATACTAGTATCTATGTAATCGATATATTATCTAAATCTATTATTATCTATATATTCCAAATCTTATATAATCCTCTGCATAATTTAATTAATTTAATTTATTGCGGATAGGTCAATGACACAATTCATTTTTAAGTGTCCAAAATATTCTTTTTTAATTTAAAAGAATTCAGACTCAAACAATAATATTATTAATTTAAATAATTAAATAAAATCATATAATAATATTAAAATTATTATTATGTAAATAATCAAATAAATAATTGTAATCAATTTAAATGCGAATAATTTTTATTATAATAATTTTATGAAAAATGAATTAGTGAGCAAATATAAATTTACCTTAAATATTATATAATAAATAACGTATTAATTTATGATAGAAATTGTATATCATAAATTACATTGATTTATAATATAAATATTATATTAATTGGTATTTATATTATGAATGAGTTATATACAATGAGAAGACCTATCATAATGAAAAATAAATTTTAATTAGTTATTTTTCTAGAGAAATGTGATAATTATAAATTCATTGTAGTTACTTAATTTTATACAATTCATATAGTATTGTTTTATATTTGTAGAAATATTTTTTATTCTGTTATCTTCAAATTATAATTGGAATAAATCTAAATGGAATACATATATGTATATATATACAGGGCAGTATTATATAAATTGTATAAAATTAAGTAACTACGATGGATTTATAATTTATTTTTAAAATTTATTTTTCATTATTATAGGTCACTATGATAGGTCTATATATATATTAAAATTTTTATAAATGAATTGCTAATTGAAGATATTTACGAAATGTAATGTAAGGAAATAGCTTATATTATATACTGAATATTGATAAAAATAAAAAAATTAAATTAAAGACTTCCTATAGAAATTCAAGTCATTTATTGAATAAAAAAGAATTATAATAATATTGATGATTCCAAAAATTCAATATTTTTTATATAAGGGTAAAACAATAATTGAAATATTTACATTTCTATCGTTATCAGTCACTTCTAAGCTTCGTGTTTATTCCTCAAGTTGCTTATTATTCAATCATAACAACAGGTTGCTAGGGATATAATGTTCTCATAGTCTATTCAAATATTATCACATAAAAAAAAATTTATCTAAAAGAGATTCATAAAATTATAGTTATTAATATATTTGTATCGACCAATTTATATACATTATATTTTACAGATAATCCATTAAAAAACATACAAAACAGAAGATATATTTAAGTGAAATAAAAATACGTGAAAGCTAACCTATAAAATTTACTTATAGATAAAATTTATAATAATTTATAAACATTTAATTGATACTTGAATTCTTATATAAAACTTTAATTGTTACATATTTGTTAGTATAATATAATGAGTAAAAATAAAAATGTAATTGTAACTCTTATTAGTTATTTATAATTGCTTACAAATCAAGATTTTCTAAAAGTTTTAATATGATTTATACTCTAATGTTTATTTTACTTGAAATTTATATAGTGATTTTGTTTTGTTGATTACATAAATTAATTTACTATCAAAAATAAAAATGAAATCCCAGAAAGCAAGAAATTGTAGCAAATATAAAAGGGATTCCAACAAGGATGGAGAATTATCAAATCAAAATATTACATTTATTTCTGATGGTCATTTACATATGTCCGACAAGGTACATCATAAAAAGTTTTTTTATTAATTAACAATTATAATATTTTATTAAATAGTAAATTGGATTGTAAAATTTGATCGTGTTTGTAAATAATATTATTATTAAAATGATTCACTTTTAAATATTATGATCACTTTAAAATATTTTGATAATTAAAAAACGCTCATGTAAATATTCAATATAAGCTGATTAAAAAATGTGTGTAAAATTAAATTTATTATTCATATAAATATCTTCAGAAAAAGAGCTTACAAATCGATATAACCAACTACTATTAAATAGTTAAAATAAAAGTACAAATCCAATCTCATTAAGAAAATTAATAAATAATTAAACCAAAGTGTATTCTATATTATGTAACTTTTTAGTTCATATTGTTACTTTTTTTATGATTATTATTATTATTCAAAGAAAATTTGAATTATAAATTCATTGAATTCGTAGATAATATATTGATTTTCATGAATTATAACATTCTTATTTTTTGTTGAATGTATGCGCTCATTTATATTAATTTTTAAAAGTTTTCAAATATTCTGTATCGTAAATAATTAATCTAGCAACAAATAAGTCTACTTTTAAATAAGGAGATGTTCATTTTTAAATATTTGTACTATTAGTATGCTAATATTATAAACAAAAACTTAAAGCTAACATTAAGAAATATAATAAAATCATAATATATTTCATAATTTAATATACATTATACGCATTGGTTATATCTCTTATAGTTAGAAATATTATAATTTTGCAATATCGTATCGGGTCCTGATAATTTCTATCATATCAGATTTCGTTCTCATTGCATTTCCTTAAGAACTCTAGATTAATATTTACGAGATTGCAAAAACTAATTTTTAAATTTCATTTAAATAAGAATGAGTCTAATTTTACGTCAATAAAAGTAAATTGCATTCAATGTATAAAGTAGTGTTATCAAATTTAGAAAGCCAAAGAGTTCGTGAAGAAACCTGATAATCTTCTAATCGAGTATGTGGATCCAAAGCCTCTTCCTGAGCTTACTACTAATACCATTTATGTACAGGGTAAAAATGGATTTAATGCTATGAAAATCAGTAATAATACTAATAATCTCTCATCAAAAAATTTCCAAGATGTACATATTTTAAGGTCAAATTTATCTCCGGTTAAAATCGCAATCATGTTTAAAAAATTTGGACATTCCATCGGCTATATTTTTCAGGGATTACTTGGTGGAATAGCTTTATTACATTTTATTTTAGTAAGTACATACAGATTAATTTACTTAAGTGATTGTTTAATTATAATATTCCTATAATTAAAATTATTTAATTTCTTTATTTTCAGATGCAAACATATTTCAATGACTATAACAGTTTTATTCATAATTATCTTCTAATGTTGGAAATATATTCAAGCATTTTTTCATTGTTTATTGCTATTTGTATTATTTCTATTTTTGATAAGTAAGTTATACTTAAATTCAATTTTATTTGCATTTTACTCAATTATCATTATCATGTAAATTATATTTAAAAAGTTATTTTAATCCATACATACCTTTAATCTCACATTTTTATATTATGATTTTTTTTTAGATAATTTATGTATAATGTATAGTACGTTTGCAGAAAATATTGCCGTTTAAATAATGTATACAGAAACACATATTTAGTTCAGATATTGTATGAATATTTATCTTTATTATACTAATTTTTTCAGATTTGATTTCTTTCATATTGGGGGGAAGAATTTTTGCACATTAATTAAACAGCATATGTTATCGATTATATCAGTTCCATTATATATAACTGTATTCTTGTTACATCAAATAATTTCGAAAATGGACAATGAGCTAATATTATTGCATTATAACTCTAAAAATATATCTTACCATTTAATCCAAGTACATTTTGTAAGTATACACGTAAACATATGTATAATTAAACCTATTTTAATTTATATAAATTTAAGTATATTAATTTGAATAAATTTTTATTTTTATATACTATCTGAAAATAAATTATTCCTAAAACTGTAGAATATTTTTTTTTGCACGGGCTGAAAAATATATTCGTTTTCGTGATTTATATTTCCTTATTTACAATCGTAATACCAACACAAGCATTGTACTTTTCACAAAAAAAATAAAGTAAACTATATTAATTTATAATATTTTATATTAAATAATTTTTTATTTTTACATTATACATTATATCAATTTTATGTATTTTATATTTAACTAAAAATTTTTTGATATACTATAATACTATTGAAATTTAGTTTGGACTAAATTAATTTGTATATTTTGAACGTTTCATTATTTCATACATGTACTACTTCATTGTCTACTTTTTCATTAATATGCCAATATAAAATAAAATTGATCGTTATTTTACAATCGAAATGCATGTTTTTGCTTTTTTTATTTTAATTTGAAAATTAATCCAAAGGTTCAAAAATACTACAGAACATTAAACAGTATTAAATAGAAAATTATGTTCTCAGTTTCTATTACAGAAATATATTTATTATTCAACTTTTCGACTTCAGAGGAACGGATGTTCATGAGGCTTTTATTTTTCCTAGATGTTGCCAGTATTAACCGTGTTTCTTTTATTTCTACTTCTACTTCTGAACACATCGCAACGAAGCGGGAAACCCAGTTATAGTTATTATTTTGACACAACGACAAACTTCAATGTCGGTCTTTTTAGATTAATTTTAAACTATTCTTCGTATTTTAAATATCAACACATAGTATTTTAAATTACTTTCTATTTAATAATTTATTTTGATTTCAAATATTATTTATATGCAAATTTAGATTTAGTATCAAGAATATACTTTATCCATACTCAAATATATTTAGAATAAAACTAAAACTCAATAGTTTATGCGAATATCACAAACATTTTAATTAAAAATATTATTAAAAATCTACATATAAATAAAATACTGAAATTATACAATCTCATATTATAAACCTTTTAATTAAACATTATTTTTAATATTGCATTAAGATACGATTTAAAAAAGCCTATTTTAATTTTATTATGAATATATTTAAAATAAGAATCTAGAATTGCTAATAATTTAATTAAAAATTAAAAAAAAAGATTTATATACATTTCATTAGTATTTTTACTATTTAGTATTTATGTAAATAATTTAATTAATATATTTTATTCAAATAGAATAGAAATGTAGAAATAAATATTCTGAATTTGAAAACCTGGCAAAGTATTACAGCTGTGAAGGATGTGTTATCCATATTTGGTTGGATATTAGTATCTATTGACATTCGCAAGAATATGCTACGAGCGAAACTTAAAATCTTAAGTTATTATGAAAAGTTGAATATTTATCCATGATTAACTATAAATTCAAAGGAATTCAAAATTCCAATGTTTTTATTACTATGACATAATATTACATTTATTCAATATCATATATAACACACAACATAATATAATATAATTTATTATTTTAAAGGCACTGTAAATAAAAAATATTTAAATAAATATTATTTTTATTACTTAATCATTATTTTTCTAACTACTAAACCTATAATACATATAAAATCATTTTCTTTTAAGATACAGTATTTTTAATACATGTTCCTTGGTAATATAATATTTATATACTTTGAATAGTAATACAAAAATAATAATTCCTTGGTAATATAATATTTATATACTTTGAATAGTAATACAATTTACCTATTATTAGGTAAAACTTTACTAGTTTTTTTAAAATATACAATGACATATTTAATGATAATTGTCATTTTAAATTATATATTTCGAATTTTTATTTAAAATATAATTATTTTCTCAAAAGAAAATTATTTTATATAAATATAAAAATTTTTCTACGAATATATACTCGAATTTTTTTCACATGCTTATCCCCACACGCTCAGTGTTGTATTACTACTTATAAATCCATGCGATATAAATAAATTAGAGATTATATTATGAAAATTTATTATAAAATATATTATGAAATTCAAAATAAATTTTATATTTAATTTTAAGTTTTAATATCTCATTGTAAGCTAAAGAAAATTCACGCTTCGCGTACGTTTCGAGAGTTATTTCGAATTTATCAATCCATTTATATGCAAGTATTCATGTACATGTGTTGCACTTAAGAAATTATTTTTTCTTTAGAAACATCAAAGAAAGATAATGAAGTTGCATATATTTTTGCCATAATATAATAGAACTGTTTTATTTTTAGTTATACAGCTTGAAAGATATTTGCAGAAATGTATTTGACATTTAAAGTTGATAAAACCTCATAACTTATTATTTTTTATATTTATTTACCTGTGTTACATAACTACTTTTGATTATTATTAACTAATCAAAACTACCTCATTTTCGTAGTAAAAAAATGTGGAGATTTCAATTAAAAATATAATATTTCATCGCTTTATCATTCATCACGTCATTGATTGGCACCTACCGGTGTTTATATACAGTGTTTACAGAAAAATAATAAATTATATATTTAAAAAGAAGATACTGAATAACATAAAATAATGATAAACTTTTTCATGTTCTATGATGAAATAAAGTTATTGCTCTAAAATAACTAGATAGTTTATGTTTAACATTTTATTGATGAAAATTACTGATTATTTTGCCAATACAAAAATTATATAAAATAGTGGTGGTATTGGTGTGGTTGGTGATGATGATGACGATAATGATAATGCGATAGAGATTGTGATGATGATGATGATGATAATTATAGTCATGATAGTTATGATATAGATCAATAGTTATGACGTCTTACAGAAAATGCCGCGCCTCATCCGGAAAACAGCTCCGATTACACTGACGGCGTACATATGTGAGTGTGGTGGCCTCTTATAGTTCAGCATGTCTCCTGTTAGTCGACTCAAGCAAGTGATCAGATTTTGTGCTTCTTGTAGTCGTATACGTTCTTGTAATGAAGTCAACACTCTTGACTGACTTCAATTATTGCGCGCTTGAGAATTGACCGTGTATTGATTATAATGGATTCACTGTTGACGTAACTGAGTAACTAGCTTATAGCTGTGAAGTCTGTCTGAATGATGTTGTTACAATGATCGCCTATAAGCCTGTTAAATACACACACGAAACTGAAGGCTTTTTTCGTTCCTTGGCGGCTCTGCTGATAGATAGCCACTTTCAATTGCGGTCCTGCCAAGACAGACCGTGATCCATGTCATGGTATCAACACTGAGAGAGTTAGGCTTGTCGTGTATTTCCTTTAAATATGCGCACGGCAGATTACTTAGCTGGCAACAATACATAGGTGTTGTTATACAGAAAGTCTTGCATGGCGTCAGAGACCAAAACTTTAGAACTTTCGAGAACTCCAGGAAAACAAGCCTCTACAAATTTTGTAGAATTCAAAACGATGTTGCAATGTGGAAACCAAATAAATATTACAGGACGTTCGCAAGCAAAGGGTTTAAAATGATCGAGAAATGTTGGAGTCAATGTTTACGATTTAGCTATCGTGAACGATTACAAATTTCAGAGAATTAATTTTCTTGGAAAGCGCTGCAATCCTGAACACTATTCATATAATATATATTGTCTGAGATCAGACTAAAGCTTCCCTGAGGTGTTGAGAGGACGCTTGCTGGTAAGTGGAATGGGCAGTACAATAATTCAACACGGCCTTTGTATGAGTTGATTTTCCTTTATTGAATATAAGAATATAATAAATAGTCAGTGGTCTATTGAGGTGAGATTGAAAGTAGGATACAATGAATAGGCGAGAGTTTCTTTAGGTAATCTGTGATAATAATCTTGTTAATTCTCCTACTCGTGGTTGTGATTCGTAGTGGTGGAGGGAGATGCGCTGATAAAGAGTCTTGACGCCGCCGGTTGCCGCTACCGATAAGCTGGAGCGGCCTGTGGGGCGCTGTAAGAGGGGAGCGATACTGTGACGTCACTCTTTTTTGGGCAATAATGCCGTTATCTTGATATGCTGCTTACTTGGTTCGTGTGTTGGTGATCCATAAGAACGTGTGTAATAGCGTAGCTTACATGTGTTTGAGTCGATCTCAGTTGAATTGATACGCAAGAACGCGTGTAATAGCGTAGCTTACGTGTGTTGGAGTCGCTTTGTGTGTGTTGGATATAAATTCTATGCACGTGGAGTTAACTTGTCAAATGGCGATTCGATCTTGATTACTGCTTGGTTGAACTAGTAAGAGGACGAGAGCGTCAAGTGCAGCTCCTTAAATATTCTCGTACGAACTTGTTGCGCCGACAGCGCATCGGTGGCTGTTGCTATGCCGATATTTGTCGTGACGTCAACAGGGCATAGCCTTGTAGGGTTCATTTGTTATTACCTTTCGGAATTATAGTCGTATATTCGAGTTTTTCGGTTAGAAGCATTCTTCGAGTCCGTTAGCCATTTGTTTACAAACAAATGTTCGCGCGCTCATACCTTTGCCACTTTTATTCCGCTTAAAAATGCTGCAATCCGTAATATATATATATATATATATATATATATATATATATATATAAAATTTTAAACCCAATTTTCGAAAATGATTGATTTTCTGGCCGGAACTGCCAATGTTCGATAGCTTTAGAATAATTTGCCACCTGTCCTGGCGGATGCTTGTGAAGGACTTAAGTGGAAAGGCTTTATCTTTAATACAGTGTGCGCTTCTTCAGTAAATATGATTTATTTACAATTACATTATTGATTTGTTCGATTTATGTGATGGAAGGGTATATACTATGCTCAATCACGACGATTCAGTTGCTTGAAACTCATCCTGTGGTGACTAGTTTACCTATACGAGATGCTCCTTGATGATGGTGATGATGTTGTTGTTGATCTGGTAAAGATCAGCAACTGATTTTGCACACTCCTTATTAGTGAGTATGTTTATGCTACATTAATATAGCTTCATGTTAATCTTGTAAGGATTAGCAATGATTTATGCCTTACACTTGTTTACTCACAGAGATACAGTAGCCTTGATCTGATCCTCTGATGAATAGCTCACCGTCCCGAATGTTTCGTGTTGGTAGTGATGATTTGGTTCACCATCCATGTGTGCATGTATGTGTGCACATATTTGAATATATATACAAGCATTCACAATTGCTAACATCTCATAATTTGTCCCTAGAGCAACTAATGAGAATAACTATACACTTCTAATATGTGTAAGTATATCTAACATAGGAAAGTACAGAATAAAATAAGTACGAGAGATGAAAAGAAAATTACACAATTACTGTCAAGCTAGCTTTGTGCAAATTGTTGAAAAATTATGTAATCTGTTAGCAAACAAAGCTCCGCCAATCAACAAATGTGAATTTTGTACTAATCTTTCGATGAATATGTAAATTCCCTAGGTAATATTAAGTACTTTGTAATGGTGTATTGTCATTGATCAATTCCATCAAATGCATAATAATTCTAAATTTTTGCATATGAATAAATATAAGTTATTTCGTGGATGTACAAATAATGTCGAATTTAACAATGCCGATAGCGGAATTTAAATATATACTTAACTAGTTACTTATTTTTACATTACGATTCGTAAGACTTCAATGAATAATTATATTTATAAATAAGAAATGATTTCACTTTTTACACTATTTAAAATTAACGATGAATTGTACATAAAATTAACGTTAGAATAGGAATCGATATGTTAAAAATTGATGAAAAGATCAACCCATCCTGAATAGTAATTAAGCTATTGTAAATCAATAAAATTCTGCACAAATCAAATTAATATAATACTTTATCTAATGCAGTATATAATCCAATTAGATATCGTTATAATATCGAATTGAAATTAAAATTATATAATACAAACTTATGTAGATGATTCTAAATCTCATATACTAGTATCTATGTAATCGATATATTATCTAAATCTATTATTATCTATATATTCCAAATCTTATATAATCCTCTGCATAATTTAATTAATTTAATTTATTGCGGATAGGTCAATGACACAATTCATTTTTAAGTGTCCAAAATATTCTTTTTTAATTTAAAAGAATTCAGACTCAAACAATAATATTATTAATTTAAATAATTAAATAAAATCATATAATAATATTAAAATTATTATTATGTAAATAATCAAATAAATAATTGTTGAAAAATTGTGTAATCTGTTACATTAATCGTATTCAAAAGGCTTATACGCTCATTGTAATTCTACCTCGCGTTTACTTAACTGTTATCAGCACTCAGTAGTTTAGTATATATTGTGATGGCGACATGTGACCGCATGTTCGGCAATCAATCTAAAGATACGCGCGCATTATTAAACAGAATCAGCAAAATCAGGTAGTGATTTTACAGTGAAGCCAATTGAATTCGTAATCAAAAAAGGGCACGCCAGCCACGCAGCAAATTTACGAGGTACATCTCTTTATATTATCTTTAAATAAGTTAGTCGCACACGCGCAAATCAATTTTAAGAAAACTTCTCTTGAACGAGTCGATGGGTGATAGAGTACGCTCTCTCAAACTAACACTTCGAAGATCGTGCAATCCCTAAAACAGTCGACACAAGTGACGCAATACGTCAATTACATTGTCAAGGTTAGACAACAGTTTATAGAATAATCGACTATAAATACATTTTTATCAAGTCCTTCAGAGTTCGAAGGCTTATCATTTATGATTCTTACATGTGATTAGTTTTTAACTACTCCCGTCCTAACTAGAGACATAATTGATTACGTACCAATTTCCATCAAGACTTTTTTACACTCTACTGAGAATGATCATTCTTTCTACCAAGCATACTTGATTTCAACCACCATCTTCTCATGCTAATGAATAAGCATGATCGACTACACGTGCTGATCCTTACGACATCAGCACGAAACCGACATTCAAGATCCACAGTAATCTCCATAGCATTAACGACATCACCATCACCCTGAAGTAATAACCTCACCACAGCAATAGAATATTTTCCCTTCTCTCACCTGAAGCAATAAAAACTGCAATATTATAATAATTGATAACAAGAATAAACAATATCTTAGCACAATAATAATATACTGTACTGAATTTCAACCTTTACATTTGTTATTTCCTCATGAGTCATCATGACGAGAGACTAATCCACTGAACTATTGAATTGGCAGTTCGAGCCATAAAACAAACTCACAAAAATCGAACATTTGGTCCGTCGAGCCGGATTGTCTCATCGTCAGATAGCAGATTTACGGAAACGAGCAGACGAGCAGGGCCTATACGCACATACATTAGGCCTGTCAGACTCAGTGAAGGCAATACATCAGTAGAGAACACGTGGTCCTATTCCATGAGTTATCAAGGAACAAGAAAGAAAGCAAAGACGCCACTATGTAGGCCAAGGGTGCCAGGACCTCCAAATCAGCAAGAGCCAACTCTCTTTGCAGCTCATCATTTCCACAACTAATCTCTAGCAAACATAAACAATAAAGTTTCTCGTAGCAGCTTGCGACGCTGGCGACAGCACTTGGGCCTGTCGCTATGCTGAAAATCTTAGTGACGTCAGAAAACGAAGCTCTAGAATATGCTAGAAGCATCGAAGAGCACAGCCTTCGAAGGTTCTAGAAGCTTCATCATCGTTGCTATGCGGAGAAATTGTAGTATATTTGAAATTTACGAATTCGCAGAATCATGTTTATAAACATGAGTGTCCGGCAGCTTGTACTTTTCCCAATTTTAAATTCTTGATAACTGCTCCTATTCGGAACAAGTAGTAATAAATTACACAAACAAAGAAATTATTATTTTAATTCAACAAAAATCACCAGTTGTTACCATGTTGAAACTGTAATAATAAAAAATGTATACTTTTGATATACATCATAGTGTTTCATATAGAATTTCATTTCCACTCAGCATAAATTTAAGAATGTACAGATTTTTTACGTTGATGGAAGATATTTACAGAAACAGAAGATGACATAGAGAAAGAGGATACATAAATTAAAAATATTAGGATTAAAGTTGTATTTGTCTGTTTTTAAAAGTATAAATATCAATTATATCACAATTGCCACTAATGTATTATGAAAAGATATACTTATACATAAATTTTACGATATTAATAATCGAAAATCGAATCAAATACAGTCAATGTATGCATCAGTAGCCTGATCCATTATGTCTTTATATAATATGAATAAACAGTTTTTATATAGCAGAAGAAATAAGTACTAGATGATGCGAAAGATTATCCTACAATACAACTAATATAATCATAAAATACGTACGTTCTTTCTCTTCTATTACTTTCTTAATTCTTGCTTTAACTCTTTGGCTGATACATTTATGCACTCTAATTTATATTCTTTAACAACGTCTGTATATTAAAATATACTTTCATATTTTATAAACTGTTAGTCTCAATTTAAATGAAAGACAACACATGTTCTTAATAAAGGTCTGAACACATGTTCCTAATAGAATATATGGTGAAAAATAAAAGAGAATATGATTATAACCCATGCGTTTATATGCATGGATATCGTTAGTTTAATTCTATTCAAAGAAAAATAAATTTCAAATAATGTAATTTTAATTATTTTATTTTTAACAATATATCAAACACATTAACAAGATTTATAAAATTATCCAAATAGAAAATGTATAATTTTTATTGGCTAGTAATACATTTTCTAGTATTAAAATGAATCAAATTATTTATAAATTAGTAAGGATAATAAGGAAGTATATATGTATGTCGGTTTATATCATGAATCATTATTTATTAATATACTAATTTACTTAAAATTATTTTTCTACATTGTACAAATTATATTACTGAAAATATTGTTACAATGAAAAGTGAAAAGCATATATTATTTAAAAATATAGTTAAAAAATGTTGATAGTTATTGCAATATTCGAGAAATACATTTTAATAAATACTGATCAAATATATTTAAATATATTATTTTGATATAAAATATATACAAAGAATAATATTAGTATGCTATTTATTAAAGCACTATATAAAGTTATCGGTATATACATCTTATAACTGTAATCGTTATTTAGTTGGAAATATCAAATTTTAATATATATATATATATTAAAATTTATAAATTACATTAAAATAAAAAAATAATATTGTTCTAGATGTAACAAAATTGTTATGACAACAATAAAAAATTTAGTATTTCATAAGGGTTAACCAATTCGTTAATAATTTATATAATTTATTATGTTGATTGTTAAAATAGTTGTGTAATATAAAACTAATAATATTAAAATACTATTAATTAAAATAAAACAGTAAATTGATATAAAATAATAATTTATATTAATTTTTCTGTTTAAGTTAAAAATTACTATTACAACCTTTAATGCACAATGATATATGAATTTAAAGGAATACACTCAATAGTATTGATAACAACATAAGAAATTCAATGAAATTATAAAATTATTTTGATTATTAATTTATTAGAAAATTATGAAATAGTTTCTTCTGTTAATAAGAAAAACAAAATACATTTCGTTTTGTTTTATTATTTCATTGACTAGAATGACTATTTAAAATTTAAATAATCTTTTGCCGTCTATAATCCGTATCTAAGAATAATCAATGTATGATTATAAATGGCTTATATATTATTTACATTAGTAAGGCACATATTTTTTCTTATTATTAATAAAAGCTTGTATATACTACTTATTTACTTTTTTATTATATCAATTATATTATGAAAATAATTAAAAATTATATTTGCATAATATAAATAATTATTTTTTAATTATTCCACTATATTTAAGTATATTATGATATACATATATAAGCTCTTAATATATAAATCTTAATTTTGTTTCAGAAACATACAGAAACATAAATTGAAAACATAATTACCATATCTTTTAGAAATGAATATGCCGATGTTTTAGTATGTACGTTCTTAAAATGATATAATTTCTGATTTTTAGAAAAAAATTTAATATATAATATATGTATATTAAAATCGATTAAATTATTCAATATTATTAATATTTGAGATTGTTCAAAATTACATGATTAACGATATTATAATATCCGACTTCCAATTATGTATTTTATTTTTTATCCATTTTCTAGTTATTAAAATAGATTAATTGTTAAAAATTATATATTTCACATAATTTATTCATTTTTTATATTATAAGAATATAGTAAATACTTTACTAACACCAATAAATCTTCAATAAATATATTTTTTTTTAAATATAACGTTGAGCTTATTGTACTTTCAAGAAACAATATATTTGAATAAATAGAAATAAAAAAAATGTGCTTATCGAAGATATTGTTTATTGAACAAAAACTTTTACTTTATATTTTTTTTAAGCTTAAATGAAATGAAATAAATGTTCACATTACTGACTTAAAAAATTTTTTTTTTATAAGACTTAAATTTGAAATCTTTCCCATATTAATTTTCATTTTTAGATTATAAAAATTATATTTTTTAGATTATATAATTATACTAGTATATTGTATATAGTAGTAAAAGCATTTCGATTTTTATTTACAGCGTTCCATAATATATTCTGTGATATATCAGTTACAATCTTGTAATAATGAACAACCATAAATAGTAATTTTAAAGAACCACATTGGTTCCTGTAAGGCTAGATTTCGATACATCGATATTAGAAGTGACCATTCTCATTTTTTTCGGAATAATAACACTCAGTCATCAAAATCATATCTGAGTTTAATATAGAGACAGGAACCAAGAATTATCCCAAAAATCTCAAGTACAGACAAGCCAAGTCCAATCGCACCAAGAATTATCAAGTGATCCTTTGTGGTCTCCAGAAATTTATAGATACAACCCTGTAAAAATGTTATAATTTAATAAAATTTTGGTAGAAATGTTAATTTCTCTTAATAATCTAATTTATTTTATTAAATTTATAAATTTTTCATTCAAATTATGAAATAATTATATTTTTATTAATATTAATATTAATAAAAATAAATATGGATATATATTCAAATTTTAATTATATTAAAATGTTTAGCTAAACATTTTAAACATTTTAAATATTTTGAACATTTGAATCGTTCATTCTTAACGTTAGATCTTTTAAAAGAGGTTTCCGCATATATTTCGATTACAGTCGATAATGTTAAATATTAATATTAGTTTATAATTTACAGAAATTAGATGTGGATAACATTGAATTTTATGAAATATAGTAAATAATTATTTAATCCTTAGTAATTATCGAAATGTGTAACTATGAATAAATGATAACATTTATTACTATAAAGTATATATCTAAGCAATGTAATAGTGACTTTTATAGAAATTGTAAAAGAATTGCCGTTTATATTTATAATTATATTAATGTTATAATTACTTTTTACATAACATTTATTTATAAATATGTATACTATTTGTAAAATCAAAAATCTTTAGAATATAATATTAAAATATAATATAAGCATGAAAATTTAAATATAGTTTTTCGGCTTGCACACAAATTTTTATATTGACGTTTATTAATTAGCTCACCACGAACTGAAATTCAAATCGATTATTTTAAATGACTCCTTACATTGACTTATCGTAATTTATATATATATATATATATATATATATATATATATATATATATGCGTGTCAGTTACTTCATAAACCTAAATATAAAAATTTGTGTACAAACTAAAGAAATATATTAAAATTTTAATACTTAACAGTATTAATCAAATTAAAAATTTTCTATTTTCTTATATTAAAAAAATATTACCTTTCTTAATGCAAATGATTTATATTTAATTATTAAAGAATTTTGATATTACACAATATTTCAATGTCAATCATATAACACACGTAATTGATACACTAAATTATATGAACAATTACACTTTTCAATATTTATATTTAGTTACGATAATGAATATAAATAGAAACATAATCAATAAGTGTTGTCCAATAGATATTCTATTATTTATACCGCGTATAATTTTTTACTATCATTTAATTAAAACCTTATTTTTAAAATAAATAATTCAAATAAGCACTGTTAATAAAATAAAAGCACTTACGGAATATTGAATATTTGATGGATGGTCCCGTTTGCCACATAGGAAACTTGGTGTTTTACAACAACTATCTGGTACGAGATTTCCGTTTTTTTGTACTTCCTCGTCTTTATACCACTCACTCATTAACCAATCTTCAAATCGTACAGCGCCGCAACATTTAAACTATAAATTACATTAGCTTAATGAATTTATACATATCATATATATCTCGAAAAGTAAATTATAGGTTCATTTAAACTTAGATTTTTACTTTATAATAATTTCATATAGCAAGCTTCCTCTATTTATTTATAGAATATCGTGAAAATCACAACAATAGCTATACAATATTCTATAATACTTTTTTAATATAATCACAAAGTTTAATATAATCTCAATTGATAAACTTAAATAATAATTTTCTATATAAAACCTTGCATTTCAATACATAGATAAGCAAACAAATTTATCTTCATCTTCACAATATTCATGAATTATTTAAAGTACGTCGTATAAGCTATCGATTAATAAAATATTCATTTTAACCATTTATGAATTTATATATATTCTAAATAAAAATGATGATCTATACTTGTTACATCACCCGTAATTAATACATTTATATCTCTATTTATATTATTACCAATGAATAATTAATTTCTAAAATTAATTAAATTAGATAATAAATACAAACAATTTATAATTTCTGATAAAAAATAGAAATATATCAACAAGAATATTGAGTTGTCAAAATATTACAAGGAATTAAATATAAAGTACTCCTACAAATCATTGATGGATATACAATCGTCTTAATGCTGTTAGCCAAAACTCTCAAAAAAAGAAAATTTATGTTTGAGATATTACTTATTATTTTAACTCAAATAACCAATTGTAAATTGATACAATTAATATCTTAGAAACTGTCATAACAATATTTATATTTTTTCTATATAGTGACTTTCATAGTATTACAATTATTACAAAGACCAATATTTTCTTAAAAATCTACTATAAATAATGGTAATTATTTTAAGATTAAATTAAAATATTTTATAAATATCCAAAAAAATTTAATAAAAATGTTGAATTCTGCATTACAATGTTTAATAGAAAATGTTTAATATAATATAACAAAATTCGTATGTTTCTACTATGTTCAATAAATAAATTTTAGAATTCTGTTAAATAAAATAGCTATAAGCGTCTTTGTTATCCAAAATTAAAACCTTAAAAATGGCATGGCATTAATTTGGCCACTTGTCAACTGGCTGTGTTAATTTTATAAGGATTTGTCATTTGAACTGTGAAATCCTATAATATTCTCATTTTTTTACTGTTACAGTATACAATACTACAATATTTTTATTACAGTTAAGGTACTTAAAATAGAAATAAGAGATAAATTTAGAAATTATAAAATTGTACGAATTTTAAAAAAAATTATTTATGACACTTTTTAGTTAAATAAAGTAAATTAATTATTCAAATAGAATTAAAAATTTATACTGGTTAACTAGATATACAATAAATATAGATTAAAGTTATTATTAATCGTCGCGTTTAAAATAAATTATAATTTAATAAATCTATTCCAATTTTTGTTTATATATTCTGATTTCAAAACAAAATTTTTCTAAGAGCAAATTAGTAATAGCTATCATTTTAATAATTTAATTGACAAATGCATTTAATTACTAAAATCAAATTTTAGATGTTTAAATGGTTAAAATAAATATTAATTATTTAATTAATTAATATATTATTGTTACGTTCGTATATCTTATTTAGGTATTTGTTATTTGCATTGATAATGTTTATCCTATTTATTTTATTACACGATTGATTTAATAATTAATAATTCATATTGAATGTTTGAACTACAAATTATTAGTTTACTTACTTCTTGCTGCATTTGATCAATAGCAGATGTCTCTCTGGATTTTAACGAATAAGTTTCGAGAAAAGTACGATTTAAATTTAGTCTTAATTCTGTTTCCACCTGTTCTTCATACAGTCGAGCTAATGTACCCACTCCTGCTTCCAATACAAAGATACTCATCACAACAAAAATATACTAAAAATAGAATAAAGAATTATATTTAATAAGCTATATAAAAAGTTTTGTAAATTATAATTTAAATAATTTTTTAATAAATCAAAAGTAATTATAATCTATTAGTGACTATTACGCAGTTTCACCGTTTCCTCATGAGCTTAGTGGGTGCATTTGACACATTATTATCATGCACTATTGTCATCTAAATTCCTCATGATTTTAGTAAATGCACTAATTAGCTTCGAGATAATATTTTTAAGTAATTACTGTTCTCTACTATTTCCAAAATCACGTGATTATCGTGATGACTATTCGGATTTACTGTATTTGTGGTTCCGATTTCAATATTCAAAGGAATAAGTGAAGCAAATGGCTTCACGCAGAATTGGCTCTAAATAAATAAATTGAAATTGAAAAAAAGAATAAGAAAACCAGAGAAAAATAAATAAACTATTAATGTGTTGACATTTTAATAAAGAATGATAATTTTGGCACCATTTTTAGAATAATACAATGAAAACACTAAATATTTAGTAGCTGCCATAAATTATCTGTCAAAAATTAAGAAATTAGTAGTCATTACTATGTTACTGAAATTGATGCTTTTTTTTTTAAATTTAATTCATGCTTTTTAATAATAATTGAAAAAAGGATAAAATATATTCTCTTTATAAATGAATTAAAAATATGATAAAGTCTTAATTGCATCAAGAAATAAAACCTAGAATTGTTACGTTTAATAAATAAATATTTTATACAAGAATTTTTGCAATTTTTAATTAAATTTTCAAATTTTAATAATTTGAAACATTTGATTATATATAAATTTAATGTATTATGCCATTCAAAAGTATATTTAAGACTTTTTTTAAATCCTCATTCATAATTAAAAACATTAATGAAAGAATTTGTTATTTTATAAAACTCCAGAATAATTTAATTTTTATTTTCAATATATATAAAATATACACAATTTAATGTTTTATACATTTTCAAACACAGTAATTCCTGATAAAATTTCCAGTTATTACTTGAAATTGTTAAATGATATTCATAAATGATGAATAGAAAATTTTTTGTATTAAATATTATATAATGTTTAATTAATATTAAACATGTAGTTTAATATGAATAATGTCTTGATTAATCACTAATTTATTAAATTATCATAAATAAATTTTATTTAAAACAACTAATTTATATTAGACATTAAATAAGCTTTGGAATTCTTATAAAATTCTATTAAGTTATTCGTGTATTTTCTAGTACTTTTATTAAGTTTACAGTTTAGTAGGAAAATAATTCAAAATTTAAATATAATTTTAGTTAAAAAACAGCTTGTCTAAAACTGGATATTCAAAAATATAGAATAATTCTACGCAAAATATGAAATGGAAATATGAAATTATTTTTTATTCAACGCTTTCTAGTATTAAAATGTAATAATTTTTTAAATCATTCTACTTAACTTGATGTTAAATAACCTAAAAATATAATCTATAACTAATTTAAAAATAGTTAAAATTATAATTAATTTAAAAATAATTTAAAAATAATTTAAAAACTTAATTAAAAAATAGCATATTTTATATTTATATAAATATATGAAGTAAAAAGAACACAAAAGGAATCTATTAGATAAGTAACTTTCACAGGTACGTACCATGAGTAATACACATCGATTTTCTGAAGTCACACCTCCACAACCGATCCAACTTCCGATTATTGCTAATACTCCTGCAGTAATAAGTGCATAAGCCAAAACAGGATAGGTCGATGTTGTCATAAGTGAAATGTAGCTGTGCTTTACTACAACTGTCCAAATACCAATCCCACCCACTACGACACCAGATAGCTATAATAGGAATACATGTAAGCAACTATTAATACTGTAACATTTAATCTTTTATGAATTGATTGAAGAATTCTTAACAAATTACATATCAAATTATAATATCTGTAATTAAAACTCCTCGACATTATGCATTTAAACGAGACAATGCAGTTAAAAGTGAAATATCTAAAACATTATTTCTACCATACAATCACTATTTGGTCACATTTACTTATATGAAACTCTAATTGTATTGAAACATATTGATATGCACATTTGTATAGTTTACAAATGTACAAATCTACTTGTGAAGATTTTTACATGTTTTAAATTAAACTCATTATTAACTCAAATTATGGATACGTACAAAGCTAATAGTTTACATTGTAAATTTTTTAATACTGAGTTAAAGATATATTCCGTCTGCTTCAAATTTTTTATTTAAACTTGTAGTATCTATAAAATATGTTTGATACAAATAGAAAATACTTAAAAAATTTTTTTTGAAAAATAAAATAATGATAAACTTTAAGTTTTTATTGCAATTTTTATATTAACTTTATTTATTGCTCTTTTAAGGTAACTAAATTAATTTTTTAATAAAGCGTTATTAATTAAAATTTACAACATTCATATTTTTTAAATAAATACTTACGTAGGATAACAACTAATTATGAATTATTACTATTTTTTATTATAATCATAATAATATTTTAAATATAATTGTCGATAATAATATATTTTATAAATTGATAATATATAGATTTAAGATTTATTATTAATAAGAAATTTTGAAACTCAATTAAAAACATAATTATATTATAGTTGAAACATTATTTTTGTATGTTAGTACGGCTAAAGAAAAGATTAATATTTTAAAATACATAATCAAGATTTACTTATTTTACAAGATTTTCTGTATCTCAAACATAGTTTATGGAAATACAAACAATGAATTAATATAGTACTTACAAATAGTACTACATTATAGATATGAAGAACGTATTTCAGAAAATTAATCGAGCAGCAACCATCATCACGGTTTCGAATTCTGGTGTTCGTACCGGGCAACTTATCCACTCCTTTAGCCATTTTTTAAAATAATATTCACCTTTTAATGTTGCCTATAAAAATCTATATGATTTTTTTACTTTATGATTTTATCGATGTTCTGAAATTTGAAAAGTATGTAAAAATGAATTTTTATTTATGGTACAAATGAAATTACAGCGTAAAAAAACAATATTACATGAAATATAAAAATAGGTTATAAAAGTTTCATTATTTAAAAATTTTTTATTAATTATAACTCATAGTTTCGTGATAAAATATATTTAATAAAGAAAATAATAACTTATAAATTATTAGCATTTATTATTGAAATTTTCAAAGTGATAGACAATAATGGTTTATACTATAACAATATCATTTTTTTCTATTTCAAAAATTTACTTCAAAACGTTGAATAATATATTTATTTTATTTAATAATTATATTAATACAATGATGCTGGGGAAGTAAGATCCAATATCTACATTGAGATTTAAAATATTCATTGAAACAGGTCTATCTTCTTAAGCCATTCAGGAATTGAAAAGTTTTACTAGAATAAAAATTTAAATCAATTTATATTTTATGCAATTTTTTAGAAAAGTGTAAGAGTATACAGTCACTTAGAAAGTAATACATAATTTTACAAATTAATTTTTAGACAATAGAAAACAAATTATTCAAATATTTATTTGAATATTTTATAAAATCATGATTACAATTACTTTTAATATGTTTCTTGTTAATAATATTATTCTGATTAATATTAAAATTGTTGAAGTGATTTTAACATTAAGTATTACAACGTAACTTTTTGTATAGATTCATTAGATGAGACAAAATATTTCATAAGGTTATATTGAATCAGTATATTTAATATACTGATCATTACATATCATATGTTTTTATACTTATATATACATCACTGATATGCTTGTAATGAACGTGATATTTACATATTTATAATTACATATTATATATATTATTATTATTATTATTATTATTATTAAGTATATATGACTTTCACTTTTCTATAATTATAATTATATATAATAAGCTCAGTTATTAAATATAATCAATTATTCTAATGTAATTATCATTTGATATCTTATATTTGCTGTAATTAATTAATAAATTTAGTTTAAAATATAAATCGTGTTTTCTTTTGTAGTAGTTTTGTTTTAGAACCACCTTAAGAACTATAAATTTTAAATAATGGAATGTGTATATTATTTAATTGCAGGTCATATTTATTATTTTTCATAAATTTTGTTACCTTTATAAATGTTATCTTAATTTTATAAAGATTTACAAAAAATTATTAATTATGTATTTTTAAGAATCAATGTACATTTAATATTATCAAATTAATTCTTAGTAAATGATACAAATTGTTAATAAATAAATATGAACACACATTTTTCATTTAGAATAAATGATTAGTAGTATCTAAAATATTAATTTTTTATTAAAATTCAATATAATTATAATTTTCACAATTTCTTAAAATGAATGTAAGACTTCAAAAATTTGTCATGAAAAATAAATTGTAATATATATTTTTAATATTAAATTTAAATATTACCGTGGATAGAATCTTTTTCAACGTTTTTGTGAATGATTAATGAACACGTTTTTAAATGGGAATTTAAAGTAATTGATAAATATATGTTCCGAGGATCATTTAAACACAAATTTATATATTCTATACTGTATGTACTCCATATCTTAAACAAAATTAACTTATTTTGAAAATAGTAAAATCATAACCTGCATAGTAAAATCCCGAATATTCAACAGAGGAAAACTATCTTTCATAAGTTACTTCTTTCTTTTTCTGTCTATCTCTAATAGCTCGGAGCTCCACCATTAATTTATGACGAACAGTACATTACAAGGGGCATATCCTCATTTATCAAATGTCCCATACCAACAGCCAATTTGCCAATCTATCCAATCATTAAGTTGTATTAACCTTGTTGATTCATTTCGTTATGAATATTCCACTATTAAATTCCATTATATTGCTGTTATTAGTTGATGTCTATACACATATAAATTCCTACGATTAAAATGAATCAATTAACTTTATAATATACGTGTAAATATATGCAAAGCTATTTACAATCTGTTTTTTTTTAATTGTCTAAGATAATAAGGATATTATAATAATATAAAAATTTAACTTTAATAATATTTATATATGTTATTACTATGCCATTAATTTTCTCTCTTCTTTTTATAAAGAAAAAGAATATTCTTGAATGTTAACGCTTTATTAATGAATTAAAATCTTAAAGAATTAGAACTAACATACAATTTATATATTTTTTTTCAATGTTTCACGTTCACTTAATTAATTTCACAAAGTGTTAATTATTTTTTAGTGGAATAAACATAATTATAACAAAGCATTAATTTTTAGTTTATTATTCATATATCATTTGCATCTATGTACATAATTCTTTTAATGCATTTTATTATTTTTCTCTTTTAATGATGAAAATACCAGTGACTATATTAATATGTATTATTGATACTCTTCATCATATTCTATTTTAATACAATATTAATGTTATACTATTCCCTTAATTTTATTACGCCAAAATTATTATCAGTTAATTATATCGAAAAAAATGTAGTCTCATCATAGTACAAAATAGTCTAAAAAATTATATTTATTAATTTTGATGTATAATTTATAAGAAAACTGTAATTTTGTAATTTCACTTATTAATAAATTTAACTTTTTATCAATCATTATTGGAAGTAACTTAACCTATAGTAATTTTATACATGGTAAATTAATTAAAAATTTTTAATGCATTTATATTTCGACATAATGTTCTATATTACAAGGATGTATTATAATTTTATCTAGAAACTGATATCATATAATGTAAGCTAATTTAATATCAAAACTGATATTTTTTGTACTATGTTAACATAAAATATTCTACTATTTTATAAAAAATTTATAGAAAATTGATGCATAAAAGTATTTATAGCACGACCTTCTACAGAACTGTAGCAATATAATACATTTATATTACTTGCTCATATATATAATATTAAATTTAAATATTACCGTGGATACAATCTTTTTCAACGTTTTTGTAGATGATCAATGAGTAATTTTTTAATTTTTAATTTAAAGTAATTTATAAATATATGTTCCGAGGATCATTTAAACAAAAATGTATTCTATACTGTATGTACTCCATATCTTCAAAAAATTAACTTATTTTGAAAATAATAATATCATAAACAGTAACTAATATCAACAATAATAAAACAACAATAACATATAGTTAGAAAAGGTAATAACATTTTAATATTAAAATTGCATGATTATTGAAATCCAAACACTATAAATACAAAATAAAAAAAGAATAAAATTTGCAAAATTGTCAAACGAATACATTGGTGAAATGAGAAAATAATTAAAAATAAAATAGGATAATACAAAGCTAAATATTTTATATCGTAATTTGAATATTCAAAGTGTGGCCCATGCGTAGGCGAAGCTGTTTTCTTTCATTGTATAATAAGCTATATCAACTACTCTAAAGTTATTTATATATATATATATATATATATATATATATATATAATACTATATTTATTACTATTTGATTATTTAAAATATAATTAATTTTATATAACTTTTAAGAGTTATATAGTTTTTATAGAAAATTCACGATTTTTATATACTTTTCTGTGCTCTATGATATATTGATTGATGCTTTATATATTTTCAAATTATTTTCATATGACTTGTATTTACATTCAAAAACTTTAAACAAAAAGTTAAAATTTTAAGGACATATGAAATTTTTCTTTCTCATATAAACATAAACAACGTACTTTTCTAATATCAAATCAAGACTTTTGAAAATTATAACTAAATTGCATAATGTCATGATCGAAAGCATTTTCGATTTTTAAAAATAGAATAAATTTTAAATCAATAAATTATTATCTATAATTAGATTTTAAATAAAAATTATATTATATAAACTTATATTCCTAATTTAATTAGTATCATTTTATAATTAAGGTTTATATTTATATACAGTATATAAATTTCCTTTCACAACATTTAAAACATAAATTAAGATATTATAAATTATTGTGTATCGTGATTTTACACATAATAACAAATTTTTAATGTATTGCTGTAAAAATGAAAAATATATATTTATAATTAATGTTGCAAATGCTTATATATATAGAAAATAAATTTTTCATCGATAATAATATGATTTTAAGGATTAAGAAATGTTTAATGTACAAAAAAAATAAATATACTGAATACATATTTTTAATAGCATATTAATTAAAATTATCAATAAGTAAGATATTATATATTACATGATATATTCAATTTTTTTAATTATTGAAAAATAGATTTAACTGGTACCTTAAATTTTAATTATTTTAAATTGAAGTATAATAATTAAATTATTATAAAATATATTGATTATTAATTTTATAAAATAAATTTGGTTTTAGTTAAATAATTAATTATTCTTATTACTTAAATAAATTAATATTATTAGTAATTAAATTTTCAAGATATGGTATAGAATGTAGCTTTTTTGAAAATAATGAATTATTTATTATTGATAATCATTTGAAGAATATCGTTTTTAAAATAGTCGAAAGAATTTTTTTAATTTAAATCATTACATTTTACGTTTTAACATTTATATGATTTTATTTTTATATGTTTTAAAGGTGCCAGAAAAATAAAGCACATATGATATACAAAATTGAACATACAAACATAATTTGTACATGTGTATAATTATCAGATAAAATTATATTTTAATTAATTTAAAACAAATAAAGTGAATAGATTTTGTCAACTGAAATATACATGAAATCAAATTAAATAAAATGAAGTAACATGAATCTATGTAAATGATAGATCAAAAAGTCATTATTTAATTAATATATTTTTAAATAAGACTATACATATTTTCATATTGGTTAAACATTTAATATATTTTCTTTTTTTATGTAATTAAAATTTCATTTTGAAAAGTCAAAATGTAAAAATTAACTTATCGCATACTATTATTTTACATATTGAAAT